GGATCCAAATGTTTAAAAACTATGACAGATTTTAAAATCTTAAATATGACGGATTTTAATTTCTTTTATTTTTTTTATATTGCATTGTTGATTTACATAATTTTGATATTTTTCTTTATAAAGTTTTATTATTTTATTAAAATAAAATTCATGATAATTTAGGTCTTAGATTGATGATTTAGATGATTTTTAAAATATATTTTAAAAAATTGAGTGTAAAAGAAGTCAAAATCTCGCAACACATAATTTAATGTAGAATATTAAATTTGAATTGCATATAGTGGCACTTACACAAACTGGATATATACTGAAAGTCTGAAACATAGAAACCAAAAGGTGAGAAAACCGTCGTACTAGTTACGAAAAAAAAAAGGTGAAAAAATGATTCAAGATCGCATCAATAGCGCGTGTGATACAAATAAGTTACTTTCACCGTTTTCAGGGATAATGTACTTAATTTAATAAAACATAAGGGGCTTTTGTGCTTTTTTAATAACAGAGGGGGTATCATGCTGAATTTAAATATCACAGAGGGGTTTCCGCATTAAACCCAATTAATTTATCAGTCAAAAATATATTTTTTATTTCACGCACTGAATTGCGTAATAATCAAAATTCGTAAGATTGAAATTAGTTTTCTGTCTGAAGTAGCTTACTTGAAGTTATTAAGGAGGATCATTTTAACTTTTTTTATACAACTCTTTCTTTGTTAATAAAATATATTTTAAACAAGTTTACCATAACTCAACCTATTTAGCCGCTTCAATTTGAAGTTCATCAATTCAGCAGATTAGGCCACAATTTGCATGATTGCATCATACCATATTAGATAATATTTGAATCGTTGAAATTCATTCTCTTTATTTATACTTTACTGCTTTGATATAAACCACACATTTGCACTTTTTTATTAGGCATGTCACTCACAGAGGTAATATTTTGTGTGATTGAACTAAATAACATTCTTTAAATGATATTGGATCAAACATGTTTTTAGTTCACAGTTTTAATTACTCAGTGTAAAATACGACGGTATATTTGAACACCCAATTTTTCGTTTGTTTGAATGTCAACCATTATTAAAAAAAATATAAAAGTAATACTCTACTATATACTTCTATCAATCATATTCACCTACAAGTGTGCCAAAGACAATGGTCAGAGATGATGAGTGTGGATATCATAGATCCGGTTGTACAAATGTAAAGTGTAAACTGTACATCTGGTGATATTTTTGTAGGTTTATTTGAAAATCATTATTTCTGGTAATTGAGCATCAATGTACTTGTATTGTGATCCTTGCTTCATATCTTCCAATTCACTTTCTTTTTCTTATTTTTTCTTTTATAAAAATTTCTTACAATATCTTTAAGCAACTCTTATGAATGTGAAATATGTGAATTTAATTTAATATTATACTTTTGAAATATGAATTGATATGAAAATCATAAACTCTGCTAGTTGAGCATCAAGCCATTTTAATTAAGCCTTGAGACATTTTCATTAACATTAAAGACTCCTCTATTCAGCATTGTAACAATAATTGAATATTAATTTTTTTAAAAACCTAATGAGCATCAAAACATTTTCATTGACTATCATGTCCTCTACTATTGAACATTGATATATGTGATCAAACATCTTCATTGAGCATTGGAGCATTGCATTGAAGATCAAAACATCATCATTGAGTATCATGTTCTCTACTATTGCTCATTAAGACTACGCATTGTTCTAAAACTCGCTAGGCGCTAGTCGGGCGATTGAGGGGCGCCTAGCACCTAGGCGGCCGACTAGGTCGATTTTTTGGGCGGCTAAGCCGATTTTTGACCGACTAGGCCGATTAGTCCTTTACAGTTAGGATCGACTAGGCAGATTAATCGGTCTGACTAGGCCGATTTTTAGAACAGTGAGACTGTGATCAAAATATAATCTGCCCATCACGAGCTCTGACATGGTGGTGACGTGAGTTTCATGGACTAGGAGAAGTCAGAGGGCCAAGCAGGAGTGTCTGGTGCCAGACGAGCATTTGGCCGTCCTGGTGCAAACAACCAAAAATTTTATGGAGCCATATGTGACTCTCTTATGGAGTCACATAGGCTATTGTGGCATCACCAAAACCACACATTATTTTATTGAGGATCCCCACTAAAATAATGTATGGTGGTGGTGATGCCACAATAGCCTATGTGACTCCATAAGAGAGTCACATATCTATATTATCTATATCTATATTCTATATTATATATTAAAATGGAATAGTGCATCAAAGCTTTAGGCGCCTTTTTGGGCGGGAACTGCACTGTCTGAGAGTAATTGTGTATCCTTTAATTACAATATTCAAAAGCTGCTTCGTATACCGTGCAAGAAGAATTAATTTCATTTGGAGTATTAATACTGCCGAGATATACGATGTGGTTGGACAACTAAATAAAATTGTAGCAATTGATTGGCTTTTTAGCTTCTCTAAGAATCATGCTGTTAAAGATGAGTGTAATTTTCCTCATGTCGTTTGAAGTTTCCAATGAGCATTATTTAGTGACATTACATCCAGTTTTGATGGGTAAGCTTCTACCCAACATCTCCTATATATACACTTCACCATCTCTTTGAATCGGTCACATGGTGAGGATTCAAGCTTGAACAAAGCCAACAAAAAGTGTATGACGAGAGAAGTTATCTGGTAAACATGCATTTCTATTAACTGTTGTTAACGCTAACTATATTATTGTTATTTTGTATAAACATGGATGCATTTCATCGAAATTGTTAGATAACTGCAACATTTGAAATGGTTAAGGGCATCGGTTCACAAGATATGAGCAATGCATTGGGCAATAGAATTTCACATCGCTTGCTAAAAATGATAATGTGAGAATGAAAAACATGAAGAGTTTCTTTCCTGATGATAAAGATTGATATTTTAACCTCTACGGCTCTAGCTACCCTCTACTCTACTATTTTAAAAGTTATTGTTAGGATGGTTTTAAAATACTTTAGATTATGTATTATTCATCTAGAACCGATGAAGTACCCTTTAAAAGATAACATGGATTTTCAGAATTTAAAAACTCTATTTAAAATTAAACTCTATTCCTGTTCTCTAACATGGATTTGTAGCTTGGAGTTTTATTGATTAATGTTTGAATAAGATGAATAAGCCCTGCAAATCTGAAATTAGTTATAAGAATAATTAAGTTAAAAAGAATTTGGTTTTAGTTATACGGAGTACTATAGTACTTGCGTGTAAATGCAAGTGCTCACTAATTAACAAGGATGATAACACACAATTAGAAAAGGGGAAAGTTCCCGAAATAGGACTAAAACAGTTTGAAAATTCCAAAATAGGACTGTCATGTTTTTTGTTCCCAAAATAGGAGTAATGACTGTTAAGTTTGGAAAATACTGTCATGTTTGAAGTCTGGTACTCTGGTACTGCCAAAACATGGCAGTAATTAGTCCTATTTTGAGAATAAAAACATGACAGTCCTATTTTGGAATTTTAAAACATTTTTAGTTCTATTTCGGATAATATTCTTTAAAAAAAAATAAGGACTACTTAAATACTTTGATTTAAGAGAATAGCATCATAGTATGTCTCTATCATGATGTTTTATGTATCATCAATTCTCATTACATAAATAAAATTGTATTTTTTTTTTTGTTTAATCGTTGAGCATCTGCGAATGAATTTTGCTCTCCTAAAGGAAAATAAATGGAATATCAAAATGAAAGAAAAGTGAAAATGGCTCTCCTAAAAAGTGAAAGAAGAGGAGTCAAGATTCATGGTTATGAGGATAACGAATAAGAAAGTGAAAGTCGCAGAAGATGAAGAATTGGTCTTGATTACCAAGTTTAGCATTTCTACTCAAGTAAAGTTACAAAATAACCTTTCATGCCGAAGATGCTGTTTGTCATGGTCTTTTTCATCACAGGACGGATGTAATTTATAGAATAAATATACCCTTAGAAAAAAAAATATACCTTTTGTGAGAAGGCGGTTATGAAGAAAGTGTATGTAGGTGATGGATGAGGTGTGTATGATTTAGGCGGTTGTGTGGAAAGGGGAGGAGCGGGCATCTGGAGAGTACCCCTACACGTTGAAACGTAGGCGTGAAAACATTTGGATAAAAATCAACCTAAAAAATTTTATAGGCCAGGTAATGAATTTGTGCTAATAAAAATCCAAAGGACTATCTGTGCATGCCAAAAACAAAATGAAATATATGGGCTTCTCTTTGTGCAAAGGAAAAAATTATCGGCACTCCCTTTGTCATTTACTCCGTATAATTTTATTAAATTTGACCCATATTTCAAAGGAAAAATTGAATATAATAATCGCAATTATTGTCGGTCCGCCGAAAATAATCTCATCTATTGATTATTTTTGTATAATCTCAACTATATTGACGGTCCGCCAATAATGGTCAATGACCAGATATTACCTCCTACAACAAGTGATTTTTAAGTAGAAATTAAGCATAAAAATTAAAAGTTAGAATTACTTGCTATATCTCTTCCCATCCACTTTAAAACTACAAGAATTTATTTATAGGGATCATTATTGGTGGAAGGTCCCTAAAATTGGGATTATTCTGAAATAATCAATACGTGGGATTATTATGGGCGGACCGCCAATAGTTGGGATTATTACTGTCAATTTTTCCTATTTCAAATAAGAATTGAAGATAAAAATTAAGAAATGAGAACATGAAATCTCTTGAATATAACTTGGTGGAGAAACAAATAATCGAGAAACAAAAACATGTGTGATGGTATTAAATTTGATTGAATAAGTTGAATTTAATTAAATTGATCAACTTTTGACTCCATTAGCTGATTGCTCGGTTAGTTATATATTCAAAATATTTTAAAAGTGTTCACCTTGTGCACTCTTTTAAAAGTGTTCACAAAAATTATAACTATAACTAATTTTTATTTTTATAACCAAATAGAATAATTAGATTGTTAATATAGGTTGTGAAGTAATTACAAATTAGTTTGTACAAATCAAAAAATTAGTATTTGATTTAATTTGGTCATTTGTATATTTTGTTACTTACACTTTTATTCACATTAATACATTATCAGAAACATATTTAAATAACTAATAACCATAACAACACAAAAACATTATTATCCCGTGCATCGCACAGGTTCAATACTAGTGGCTCCATAAAATTACTCGCCAACGACAAGTCTGATATCATCATGGGTGTGACCGTGTGAGAGGCATCCGTCTCAGTGCAAGTGATGAGGCATACATCCGTTTGGATGTGAGCTGCGAGGCATCCGTCTGGGTGTGAGCAGCAAGGCATTCGTCTTGGTCATCAGTGCTGACTGCTGAGCACACATCGGCAATAAAAACCCGATTGTACCATGCACATAATATAGCCAATTAATTGTAAGATATAATTTGAGGAAGATTACCCAAGCACCCAACACATAATTAATCACACACTCGCATAGCTTATCTAAGACTCTATTCGACAAAAACGAGCAGCTAACAATAAATGAAAGTATGACACCCTTCAATTACATAGTTATACAACAAAACTTACGCTTGCTTATATATACAACTACATAATTATTTGATTCCACATTCTAAACTTGAAGAATGATAACCTATAAAAACAAACAGAAAATTACCAGAAAACCAGCAAAGTATAGGAATATTTTCAAGAAAAACTTTGTCCCGTCCAGAGGTGCTCCATGATAATAAAACCCATGAGAATAGCCTCCGTGAAAGGAACTTGAAAAAAGGTAAGGAACTCCTGTTGTTGCCCCATAGACAGTCGCATCATGAAATCCATTCACACGAAGGTTTAAAAGGGAAGGAATGGCCCCAAAAAGAGAAGACAGTGTTAAGCTCCCAAGCCTCTCATTTGGCATTTGCATGAAATTCGCGACAGAGTCTATCTCATTCTCTTGTCTGGAATAGTTTTGGATTTGAGGAACCAAACGCGTCCGAGGGTCAGAAGACGCTTTGCCTCTTTCATATATGGGAACCAATCTTTCCTCCTTAATGATGGCCTTGCAGACGGGGCATTCGTGAGAGCGCGAATGAACTTGAAGCCATTGGTTGAGACATGGCCAACAGTAAAGGTGGCCACAGAGTGTCACTATTGGGTCATGAGCCAAGTCAAAGCAGATATTGCATTCAAAATCACCCGACTCGTAGTTTATTGCACCATCAGCATAATAGGTTGGGTCTAGTGATTCACTAGTCCCACTATTCATGTCCATAAAGCCTCTAATCAAACACCTGTTTTCCATATAATGTTAAGAAAAAGAATTGTTTAGCCAATATAAGACAACCATCAATGTAACACCATAGTTGAATGACAATAAGGATACAATATCAATCATGAAATATAAAAATTGTAATGAAGAACAGTTTATTAGCATCATACTTTGCTGGCATTTTCATTTTCTTTACAAAAGTTTAATACTTTAATGAGGGTAAAGGATCTGAAATAATATTGGCCCCAACTCTAGTCCAATGAGCTTATCTGTATGGTCCAGCAGCATGCTATCCGATGCATTACTTACTATTCTAATGTATATTTTGGTAAGATATACATACCTAAAAAATATACATTACTTGATATAATCAAATTATATTAGGGTCTGCTTGGATGGGGAGTTTGAGGTTTTTTTGAGGGGAAGGTTTTGGAGGGCTAATTCAATATCATGAAATAGATTTGAGATTGACAATTTTGAAATAATAAAATAGTAGGCAATCTAATTACATTCAATCACCATATATTTGTTAGCTTATCCCCAAAAAACTTCAACATTTGGGACCAATGACAAAAATATTCCCTCATACATGCAATTCCTAAATAGCATCCATCATATTTTAGTCTAAGATGATATAAATATCCGTCTATTTTCATCCAATCAAATTATATTAGGGTCTGCATGGATGGGGAGTTTGAGGTTTTTTTGAGGGGAAGGTTTTGGAGGGCTAATTCAAAATCATGAAATAGATTTGAGATTGACAATTTTGAAATAATAAAATAGCAGGCAATCTAATTACATTCAATCACCATATATTTGTTGGCTTATCCCCAAAAAACTTCAACATTTGGGACCAATGACAAAAATATTCCCTCATACATGCAATTCCTAAATAGCATCCATCATATTTTAGTCTAAGATGATATAAATATCCGTCTATTTTCATCCAATAAAATCTTTTAATTTCACACAGGAGTGTTTAATTGAGTTTTCCCATTTCAAAAAATAAAAAATATGCTTTAAAAAGGATGAGAAATGAATAGTAATGATATGTAACATCAAATTTCAAGTGGACAGATCCATGAAAACTAAAAGATCTTAGTAGGTGGATACTAATATCGGATTTGAAAATAGATTAATGCTACTTCAGAATTAAATACAGGATATACTTATTTTGTCCCCACCCTCCAAGAATGGAATTTTTTAATAAGCCTTCTGAGTTTTGGAAACACTCTATTATTAAGATATCGACGGAGGCCTCCAAATCCTTCCATACCAAAACCCTCACTCCATTCTATTCAAACAGACCCTTGAGGTCTACCAAAACTATACTAAATTCATGTAGCTGCTTGAACTAATTAATTTTCTATTTTTTTTCCTTCCCTTTTTAGTTGACAAATGATATTATGATAACTTGACAATTATTATATTTTTAAAGAACTTATAACGATAATACACTTTCAGACAATTAATTAGACAGTAACTTCATGTCACCAACTCTTAAAGAAACAGTTAAGCTTTTCAAGAAACACAAACAGGCCTATTGCAGTAGCAGGACCAAAAGGTCCAAACAAATGATAGCTACCATAGCTATCCATTATTAGGAACACTTAAGTTTACATTAACTCTTTAAGCAACAGATCCAACGAGTCTGTTAAATCCTGGCCCACATAAACCACCCTAAACTAAAACTACAAAAGATAAAACTAAGATATAGTACAGACTACAAAGTGATAAATAAGTACTTAATTTATAATGAAAGATTGCATATTGATTACAATCAGGGGTCGACAAAGTCCAGATTCTGAACCAGAACCGCACCCAGAATGACAGGTTATTTCAGTATGAAAAAATAACACATAAAGGGCTCTAAGGATGTTTTTAATTAGACTAGTTTAAGTCTCAGACCCGACTTAAACCCGACTTGATCAGACTTAGACGGTTGTAAAATACGTATAGAACAAACATCTACCTACCAGTCTAGACCAATTGAGACAAAACCACACTTAAAAAGGTTGAACCAGATCAAACCACAAAATTCCTTAGCAGTGTTCTGCATTATACCCGAATCTATAGTAGTGTTCTGCATTATACCCGAATATATAGTAGTGTTCTGCATTATACCCGAATCTATAGTAGTGTTCTGCATTATACCCGAATCTATAGTAGTGTTCTGCATTATACCCGTATGGTTTCTCCAAAAGAGGACCAGATTGTTGGGTTTAGGTTTGGTTTTCCCTAAATTTTAATAGGACTGAGAACCGTAACAGAGCCAAACAGCACAGTACCTCATGGGCTCATGGCTGATAAGCTTATGTCGCCCCCACCTCCCAGATAAAAACCAAAAGTAGGAGGGAACAGGTCCTTCCCTCCAGACAACCAAAATTCGAATCTTTTAAATTGTAGCAGAACACAGAAAATATATATACACGTTCTGAGCTCAATTTTTGGAAATAATAATCCATTAATGCTCTGTTTGGATAAAGTGAAGTTAAGTAAATCTAGTGCAATAAAGTAAACTTAAGTTTTAATAAAAACTAGGTTAACCTAATTGAACCTAGTTCCATACGCAAAATAGCGTTTGGCAGTATTCAAGGTGAAGCTAGGTTAATGTAATAAATGTTGTTTGGATGAAGGTACTTTAGCTCTTAAACTAGAACTTAACCTCCAAAACCCCGATTCGGAATTCTATGTTCTCGGAAGTTAAGTGAGTTTAACACATAAGCTAGGTTCTTATTGCAATAACACAAACAAATGGGGTTAACTAGAAATTAAACCTTATAGGTTAACTCCAAACAAACAGGCCATAAAAGGAAATAAAATGATAAAGAAACGAATCTTAACAAAAGAATAAGAGCCCGTTTGGTAGTACCAAAATCGGCTGTTTTGGCTGATTCTGCTGAAATTTATGATATTCTGGCTGGAGTGGCTGTTTTGGCTGATTCTGCTGATTTAAGAAAAAAATATTTTAAAAATATATTTTATTAATAAATTAAAGAAAAAATTATATGTAAAAATAGCTAAAATGGTCCTCTACAGTAACTTCAGCCAATACAGCCAGAAAAGTAACTCCAACCTTACTTTTTCGGCTTATTACACAATTCAGCGCGCGAAAGTAAAAGTTACGTGTTTGGTGAAAAAGCTGGCTGATAAGCCTGATAAGCCGAAAACAGAGTTCTCCAAACGGGCTCTAAGATAAAATATAGTCAGATCGAGTCATTATCGAAAATATAAAAGGTAGCAGAGCTAGAGAGTGAGAGATAGAATCTAACCTTGGTTGGGATCTAAAGAGGAACAGTTGATACTGATCTGAAAGCCGAAACTCTTCGAGAGAGAGTGGAAAGGGGAAGACAAGAGAGATAAAAGTGGATCAACAGAGTTAGTGCTATAGATCAGTTCCACAGAATGTAGTTAGTATATATGAGAGCTGGTTTCGAAGTTTCGAGGATGGAAGGAGAGAAGGAATAATGGATTGATGACTTTTTGTTACCCCGTGTCGTGTTTGTTCTTACTTCGGAAAGGGAAAACACCGGAAAGGGAAAATTCTAACTTCACACATCTCTTTGACTCGACTCAAAAGTGCTAATTTAAAACACCTAAAATATTGAAAAATTCTTACTTGACAGTTGACACATCTCTTCTCGATACAGCCAGTTTATACGTCAAATCTATTTTTTTTTTCATTTTAGTACAGGAAATCGTATGTGTCAATTTTGAACTGAAATTAGTGAACATAATCTTCACTTAAAGAAGAATATGTTTATAAAATTCTATCCAAAAATATACCGAAAGCTGTCTCAAATGGCGGCGGCCAGACGGGTGAACAGTCTTTTTTCACACCATTGGACCAGATTCCTCATCTTATTAAGATAAAAAAAATACGCCGTATTGTTGTTCAATTATACATTATTATGTATGAATAAATGTTGAAATCACTCAAATAAGACATTAATAAATTGCTCAATATAGGATGGGTCAAAGGAAACTGTGGACGACACCTGGTACTGGCGGAGTAAGCAGTGTTTAAATTGCACGGAACTACAAAACGAAAATGTTGAAAAAATGGCACCATTCTACTCTTCCAAAAGGTTGAATCCCCAACCCCAAGGCCCAAGGGCCCCCCACGCCCCGACTTGACAAGACTTTTGGAAGGTTGCAAGTCACGGTGACTCATTAAGTCCAATGGTGGTAGACCTTGTACCTGTGAGCACCAAAGGTCCAGCCTAGCACACAAGAGCTGTAACCTCCACACGGGCGTTGCAGGATTCGATCCTTGTTCATCACTCAACCAACTGAGCTACCCGTGCGTGTAAAAAAATGGCACCATTCTAAAAACACAGAGTAATATCAATTGAATGAAAAAAAGCCCAAAATCAAGAAGCCCTATCCAAATTTAATGATCTGACATCCACACTTCATTAGTAAGGCTGATCAATCAGAAAAACTGGGAAAACCATCCAAGTTTAGAATAATCCGAATTTTAGCCGACTAGAACATCAATTTTTAGAATAATCCCAATTCTAATAAAGGAAGAAGAGGAAGTGATGAGAATACGTCCTCCTGAACCGCCGCCGCAGAAGAACTATGCAATTAGGATTTGGATGACTGCTTTACTTTTCTAGTTTTTTATTTTCAATCCAATCTGTTTTACTATTTCTATTTTGTTTTACCTATGACAATCAATAAGGTGTAGATTGGTGTTTTGGTTTGTTTTAGTTGATAGATTACTGTTTGGGGGCGATCAGCCGCTAATAGAAGTTCTCACAATTTCAATGATTAGTCTCACTCTTTCTAGGGTGACTTATTTTATGTCTGATCATGACATGAGGAGGTCAATGGGTTTTGATTTTGAATGAGTAGAAAGGGACTCAGGTCTTGCATTATTGTTTCGGATCGTTTGATTTAATATAAGCTCGTTTCCTTCACTCAAAAAAAGAATAATCTCAATTCATATGATCATTAGCTGAATGATAGAAATGACAAGGCTTTGTTTGTACTTCTCAATAGCCAATAACATCCGCATCAAATGAACCAAAACCACGCAGAAAGTACTGAAGTTTTTAAGGCTATGCAACCACACTGCACGTCAGCACTTGCTTAAAGAAAATCTAGAAGACAACATTATGTACACAGATAATACACTTTCACTAGAACAACCTCTGCTCTTCGCATTATATAAAGAAAATTATTTTGATTTTGCAGTTAGCAGTGAGAAGTGGTCTGCTGCTTTATTATCAATTCAATGTCAGCTCCGATTTCAGCCATCTTCGTATCCATGGACGCTTTTGCCGCTTTTGCAATATTTCCAACATCCAAATCCACTGCTATCCTCCCGACAACACCCTCAAACATCTGTAATATTAACAGAATTACTTTTATTTATCTAGGATAAATATGGAGAACACGATCATCTCTTAATTAGATTAGATGATGAGGATGCTAAAAACAAGTGTGTTTTTTAGACTTACTAATGACCCAATTGCGACCAGAGCTCGGAATTTTGAATCAGCATCAATAATTTCCTCTTCTGCAATCTTTATTTGGGTATCCAAATGATTAAATATAAGTATAGAGATAGAGATAGAGAGAAGACGTATTAATGCTACGGGTGGGCGCACAAAAACTTACAAACAATGACATTTCCCTTTAAAATTTTGGTAGTGTTGCTTTTTGAAAGCCCCTTGGTTAGCTAAAAGTAAGGTTAAATGAAAACCCGTACTGAAAAATGTATTTCAAAACAAAAATTGTTTTGTGTTTACTTTTTCATCCCAAAAATTAGCTCATATTTATTCAATGAAAAGACATTTATTTTTTGTTTTTTTGGTTATTTGATTAATCATACAAAGGTTTTCGTTGACCAAGAATCAATTAACCAAAGTCATGATAAGGTAAGTAAAAAGGGCAGTGCGGTGCACGAAGGCATCCCCACAAGGTGATGGTCCGAGAAAGGGTGTGTAAGGGGCAAGCATTCTCCTGTCAATTTTTTACTAGATGCGGCCCCCAAAACTTGAACCCATGACATCCCGATGATTGCACAGCAACATCTTAACCAGTGCGCTCATGCTCCCCCTTTCAGTCATGGTATGGTCAATCAGCAATGTTTGGTGTACCCATTATATTTGTACACGTGTATCACATATTTTGTTTATATTACAGACGTTTAAGTATAGCAATTTCTGTATTTTTTAGACAAATTGCCCCCAATACAAACAAAAAGCATGGGGCGTGTACACAAAAACGTGTACACATGGCATCTTCCAAACAACAATAGCTTAGGCTATTGAAGAACACAGCAAGGAATTGGGTCTGCAAGCTACCACCAGCCAAGAAGCATCAGAGTAATATATGAGATTTACCTCAAGAGCTGCTGAAAGAACTTGGGATTGACCTTCCTCATCCTTCTTTTCAATCAAAAGAACAGCATAGCTAAAAACCCAACAAAATTAATTAAAGAAAATCAACATAGGGTGACTAAGTGAGTTTAGCCAACAAACAACATAAATCGTTATAAGCTATGTAGATAAGAACTTTAAAAAGTATACACAGATTTCACACAACTTACTTGAGTATCAATGTTGAATAAGATAGTTGCACATTTTTATTTGAGGTTAGATAACAGCTGGAAAAAGCATTTAAAATCTGCACACACAAATACACAAAAATTAAGTGTTCACAACCAACAGAAGGAGAAGTTAATTCAAGAAACACAAAAAATACTGTAAATCCAACTCATGAGAGATAAAGAAATGTTATAGATGAAAAAACTTGCTTAAAATGAAAGTGGACAATAAAGTTGACCAAATATAATACTATTAGATGAAATGGCATTGAGTATGTTCTTAGCATCGGTATACATCATTCACTCAAGGGCTCAAATCAGCAAAGTAGCAGGCATATGCATGGAGAATAAATGAAAGTGGAATAATACAATGGCATGACATTAAAACTGATAACAACTTTGAATTCCCATCACAAAGCATTCATTATTTAAAGAAGGATTGCAACCTCTCCACGGTGTTTTAGTAACCAATCATAAAAGATTGAGTTCTTGAAAAGATTTGTCACGGCACGAATGCTTGTTAGGAGATTAGCAGGAATGGGATTCACGGTCACCTTCTTGAGCAACTCGACAAGTGTATCTGGTGAATTAAAAAAAAAACTAAATAATTAACTTAACAGCTTTAAAAAATTAAAGAGCAGGAAGGAAGGTCATTCATAGAGCAAGTACACCGTAAACAAAGATTAGAGAAAATGATAGTTGATGTACATGGTTCCGCAATGATAGCAATGATCTTTAACAGGTTTCTAATAAAATCTATTCAAATTGCCAGAGAAAATCTGATACCATTATCAATGTTGACATGTTTGAGTAAGATATTTGCCCCATCAGGGTGTAAAATTAACATCCTCAAGACATCAATGACTGCCAAAGAAGAAAAAAAATGTGAACTTGTCATCAAACCTTAGAGTCTTGAAAAGTAATACTTGGTCAATTAATAACCTGTAAAACAATCTAGTTATTCTAATGAAAATAAAATTTTAAGAAGGCAGTTACCGGGAAATAGCATTGATAATGGCCATGTCTTAAGTAACCTCAAAACCAATCCAAGATCAGTATCTGAAAAGCTACTGCTGTGATAGTGTGATGTGTCCTTCAGAATTTTAACAATAGCAGCCAGTCTTGGCATCTCAGCCTCATTTATTGACAAATTACTTCTCTCCTAGAGTAAATAACCATTTCTCAAGAGTATAAGTCAAGACCATTTGTATCTGTAAAAGCTTAAATATTGAGAAAATAAAACAATTTTCAAGTTTAGGGTTAGTTATTACTGAGTCAGATTGTAGAGTGCTATTGAATTCTGAAATCTTCTTCAGAATCCCATCAAATTGAGCAGCATCAAATACAAGCATTCCTTTCTGGAAAAAAATGCATATATATCTCAGACTCAACTGTAATTTAGCTATAGAGAACATTCTATGCTCTAACCATACGATTCAAAGTCTAGACTAGAGGATTTAGTTACCTTTGGGACGTGTTTGAGAGTAGGTTTTGCTGTACCTATTAAGCAACAACGGATAAAAATTCTAAATCGACTTAGATAATGAATTTACTAAAAACCAAAAAAAGTTTGAAAGGTTCAGTGGCAACGTAGTACGAACCAGGAGCTTTTGAAGGCTCTCCCGGAATATAAGCATTGGCTGAAATTACACAGCGATACAAAAACTATTCCGATAAAATGAAAGCGGATGAAAAAAGAGGGCAGTATATAAAAGAAATCAGATTCAAGTAGTTCATGTCATTTACCACCAGTGTAGGGGTCACGGAATGATGGATCAGGAGTAAAATTTCTTTGTCCAGTATTTTGTAGTATGAAATTCACAACCTGCTCACGATATGAAAGAGGCAGATTCTCCTTGAGCAGCCAATTATCAGCAGTAGTATATGGATCATCTGTAAATAAACCAAACATATAATTTGCATATACAAATGTGAAAAAAGATGAGAATTTAAATCTTAGGAAAGAAGACAACATCAAATAATTCTTTACAATAAAAAACGATCATCCATGAAAACAGTTAATATGTGCAATAAGGAAATAGAAACAAGGCCAATATAAAAAGTTAGGGGCTCAATCCAGGAAAATCAGATCAAATATTTCAAAAGAGTTTCCTTTTTGTATCACTGATTGTGGCACTCCTAAACCTTTGACTATTGTGCTCTCTTAATTTATTGGCATAAAAAACACATATTTTATCCTTTTATCTTTTTTCCCTTTTTCTTCTTTACCTTTCTTATGGGTTTTTATCCTTTTATCTTTTTATTTTACACACACACACACACACATATATATATGTATATGTATATACACACACACATATATTCTTTTTATCCTATCAGTTTTATGTATATCTTATCTCTATTTTATCTTATCTTTTTATCTTTCATTACCTTTTGGCTCTGATATCATGTATCGATTCACGTTAGCCGACCCCAATTGTTTTTGGGACTAAGGCTTGGATTTCGATGTTGTGGTTGTTGCACAAAGCACATATTTTGTAAATGGATATAGACACAATAATCATGGTGCAACACATCTAATAACCAAGAGAAGTAATATTGTATATAGAATCAAACATCAAAAGCTCTTACTAGACATGGAATAAATCCAAAAAAGGAGCTGGGAGTCTGGGACAATATTTTGTATAGCATATTTGTGTCTTAATCTTCAGCACAAACTATAAATTAAAATATATTTAAAGATAAATAGTACCTTTGTGGTTGTAAGGCAATTTACGAACAGGCTCACCATCACCAATATCAACATCGAATACTGAACAAAAAAATGAAAAAGAACTTACAAAGAGCAAAGCAAAACTAAGGTACAAAGGGAACATAAATATCTGAAGACAAAAAAATTCACCAGAATTTATGTAGAACTATTGACTAGTATTACCAAATTTACAGCACAAACCCGACATATGGTATATGTAAAATGCTAACCAAAATCATATTGAACTCCATCAAGCACAGGTTGTGTCATGCCCTGATCAGGTCCATCAACTACTTCACCAATCTAGGAGCCAGAGAAAGCAGAAAAAATTTAAATCACGCAATTGGAAGATTAAGAAGTTCAGTTATATTATATAGACGAATGAATCTTACTTTGTCCCACTTATACTCCCTCATGTTCCATGCATATGCTACACCACTATCCCCTTCCCGAACAATTTTTGTCTGCCCATCACTATTGCCTGTTCAGTAACTCAGATTGAATTAGAGTGGGAGTAAGCAACAAATTGTGAAGCCAAATTTATCCATTTTTACCATGAAAAAATATAAGTGAATTAACCTGGGGTCTGCAAAGCTTCCAAGCCCGGTAAATCTTCCAATTGAATTCCTCCAACTTTCTTCCTAAGGAAAAAATAACATGTCTTTATTACAGTCTGTGTCTAATAAATATTTTCATATCCCAACCAATAGCAATTGACTTTGATTATCCACGAAAAGTGCAAATTGAAAGCTAAAAGCTGTGTGCCCAAAGAACCTGCATAATCCATATTTAGAAAACGAAGAGGGCATTTGTCCAGACCAACGAATATTGTAAATTGTCTCCATGGTGATGGTTCATATGTTCCAATCAATAAAATATTAAAATGATAATTTCCAGTGGACATTACATAGAATAGATCATAGGGAAATTTATCTATACGTAACTAAAAGTCTAAAACATTCATAAATTCCTAAAATATGGCTAACAAATTTAAACATGCATCTATATGAGAAAAATGTGAATCAATGGAATAAAAAGTAGCATCATAACACATACCATACATGCAAAACACCATTAGTTTAGAAAAAAACTGTTTAGTCATATTTTAGGAATTCCACCTTTTTTAGTCATACTCCTAGTAATTTTCTCTAGATAATACCAATGTTCTAAAAGGCGCTAGTCGGGCGCCAGCCCAGCGCCTAGCGCCTAGGCGGCTAGGTGGACGCCTAGTCGGCAGTGACGGATTTGGAATTTGAATATTGGGTGTTCAATGCTTTTTTACAACTACAAATTTAAAGAGCAATAAATAATTATACCAAATTTACATATATATACCTACATATTTTTAAAACATTTGGGTGTTCATGAGAACCACTTTGAACATGAGTGGCTCCACCACTGCTAGTCGGGGACTAGTCGGAAACATAGAAATTGCATTTTCATCTATACTTTTGCATAAATATGATAAGTAATATTGTATTTTTGTGTGTATAAAATACATATATACATATACATTAACAAACATGAATGATATAATTATCACATTTAATCATACGTAGTATATGATAACTAATGAGAAAGCGGTCTAGCCCAGCTGGTCGCCGACTCACACTCCCTTACGGGAGGTCTCGGGTTCGAAACTCAATGGAGTGAGTTTCCCTGATTACTCCAGGTCCCCCAGCCCCCCTCCCCCAGACGCCCCCTGGAGTAAAAAAAAAGTATATGATAACTAATCACTTAACTTCATTATGTTATAAATATACATAATGATAAAATTTAGGTATATATACAAACATATATAGTTTTATCTTAATTTACAACTTCATTTCTTTATATTCATGGCTAAAACTAAACTACGTATATCGCTTAGAAAATTAAAATTAAAATGTAAAATAATGTTCAATGAATCTAGACGGCCTAGGCGACCGATTAGGCGCCCTAGGCGAGCAACTAGGCGCCATAGGCGGCCACTAATTCACCAAGTCGGCAAACCAATTAGTCAGAGCGCTTAGACGAAAATCGGGGCGCCCGGCCACCGCCTAACGCCTAGGCGGGGACTAGTCGGACGCCTAGAATGATTTTTAGAACAGAGGATAATACTTACATAAGGGAAAGTGAGCAAACTGTATCTAAATCCAGAATACATATGAATTAAGTATTCCCATAGAAAATATTAGAATGCAAAAAAATTAGGCACAACTCACTCAAAAAGATTGCCAAAGAAAACTGATATGAAGCGGGGAGAGCTTGTGGCGGGACCGGGCTTGGGCCCACTTCCGTGGGCCGGTTACGGGCTGTTTAATTAATATTTATTATTCATTTTATTTTGTTTCCTAATTTAATTTGTTTCCTAGTAGGATTTATTTAGGACTTCTATTCTTACTAGAATTAGAGGTTTCCTATTTCTATTTAGTTTCCTAGAATGATTTAATTAGGAGTTCTATTAGAACTAGAGGTTTCCTATTCTATTTAGTTTCCTAGAATAATTTAATTAGGATTCCTATTCTTATTAGACCTAGAGGGTTATTTATACCCCTTGTATGCTTCATTCTTGAGGATCTGGGAATAAAAGTTTGGTTTAGCCTTTTGGCTTTGGGCAACGATATTTATTTATCGTTGATTATCTGGGCAACGGTTCACCCCGTTGATTTTACTTTTCTGTTCTTATCAATTGGTCCGACCTGCCGGATTCCCGTCCCGCCAAGATGACAAGAACTCAGAATGAACGACTGACGGAATTGGAGGCCGAACAGGCCCTGGTAAATCAAAAGCTCGATTCACAAGGAGAGAAACTGGATGTACTGGCTCGGAAACAGGAGGAGCAGGCCGCCCGGCTTGCGGAAATCGCAGAATCCCTGGCAGCAATCGCAAAGGCCATGGTACCGCCAGCGAAGTTTTCAAGCACGACCATCGAGAGCGGCTCCTCCGCCCACATCGCGACTGCTTTCACCGACAAGGGCGGACCGCGCAGCGCATCCACGTCACTGCTTCCCTCATTCGACGGTGAAGACCCAATTGGGTGGCTGGCAAGAGTGGAGCAGCAGTTCGAGCTCAACAGGACCCCACCAGATAGACAAATTGCAGCGGCTAGGGTTTCTATGGAAGGGGCAGCCCTTTATTGGGTGACTTGGTTGAAGGCGCGCAAACCCCACATGTCCTGGGAGGAATTTAAGCAAGCCTTGGTAGCCAGATTTGATTCCCGATATCAAGGAAACAGGTTTGAACGGTTGTCAGGCATCAAACAAATAGGGTCGGTGGAGGAGTACAATACCTTGTTTGTTCAATTGGCTAGCCAAGTTCCGGGATTGACTGACGATCATTATCTGGGCTATTACATGAGTGGACTTAAGGAGGAAATCCGAAGTTCGTTGCGTTTATTACGGCCAGATAACTTGGAAACGGCCATGGAATTAGCTCGCGATGTGGAGCATAATCTGTCCGTCCAAAATGGAGGTAGTGGCAGCCCGAATTATAATTCTTCAAGGGTACGTTCCAGCAGCTTTTTAATGGAAAACACGAGTCCTCCGTTGACTGCCAGTGCTGGCGGCTTACAAGGATCAAGGGGCATCTTTGCGAAAGATAGTGGACAGCCTCCGGGGACGAAGTCAGGCCTGTCTGGGCAGCCTACGACACGATCCCAGTTCACCCGTCTTGCGCCAAAAGAGTTAGCAGATTTGAGGGCAAAAGGATTATGCTTCCGGTGCAAGAAACCATTTACACCAACACATGACTGTCCCTTTAAGCAGCTGCGTGTAATGTTAGCTGAGGAGGATGAAGAGTTGGATCTCAAGCAGCATGAATTCTGTGAAATAACCGGCCAGGAAAGGGTTCAGGAAAGAGAAGAAGAATATTTTCCAGTATATTCTATGTCTGGAAATTTCAGTTCCCGATCCGCGAGTTTTCAACCTTGAGGACAAGGTTATTTTAAGGGGGATGGATTGATATGAAGCGGGAAGAGCTTGTGGCGGGACCGGGCTTGGGCCCACTTCCGTGGGCCGGTTACGGGCTGTTTAATTAATATTTATTATTCATTTTATTTTGTTTCCTAATTTAATTTGTTTCCTAGTAGGATTTATTTAGGACTTCTATTCTTACTAGAATTAGAGGTTTCCTATTTCTATTTAGTTTCCTAGAATGATTTAATTAGGAGTTCTATTAGAACTAGAGGTTTCCTATTCTATTTAGTTTCCTAGAATAATTTAATTAGGATTCCTATTCTTATTAGACCTAGAGGGTTATTTATACCCCTTGTATGCTTCATTCTTGAGGATCTGGGAATAAAAGTTTGGTTTAGCCTTTTGGCTTTGGGCAACGATATTTATTTATCGTTGATTATCTGGGCAACGGTTCACCCCGTTGATTTTACTTTTCTGTTCTTATCAAAAACGCTCTCATTTCCTTAACCAATTACAGCAAGTGGAGAAAAGCTTATAAAATATCCAATAAAAATTTTAATGAAAGAAAATCAAAGTACTTTAGTGATGCACCTGCTGCACTTGTATTGATAAAGTAGATTCTCGTATGACTCTATTTCTTGAGGGTCAGCAATCCTATCCTGTTGAATTGTCCATATACGTGCTATTCCATCAGAGCATGCAGTTGCAATATCACCATTTTCTAAGAACTTGACATCCCAAACACAACCAGGATGTTGTATGCTCTGGACACAAACTCCATCTACATCACAAGAATGATAAATTTATAAGGAAACATACTCATGAAAATTACTTCTATACGAGATATATATATAAAAATGTTGATCATAAAACCTACTTTTCCATATCTTAGCAAAACAATCCTCGCTGCCACTAACAATAAGCCCAGAGACATGAGCATCAACAGAATAGACAATTGATGTGTGTCCAACCATCTCCATCAATACACCACCACCAAGATCCCACAACCTAATGGAACTGCCATTCCATAATGACGGCATTAAAAAATCAGGAAATGCAAAAGAACAAGATCCTTGATGGCAGATGTGTAATAAATATCAGGAACACTTTCAAAGACACGTGAACTAATTTACAAAACTTTGATTACAAAAAAAAACAGTATGGTATAGTGCTCATATTAAGGACCAAACTAAATGCACTTTCAGATTTTTGAGAAATTTGCAAATGCTTCTAGCATATTAAACCTATAAGATAGGTTTTTTTTGGGTTAAGCATATTGCAGCAATGGTAATTATTTCCTAAACTACCTCTTCAATGTAACACATATTAGGTAGAAATTTAAACTAATTAATAGATAGGTTATAGAGAAAACAAAGGAGTAGAGTTCAAGATATAACTCCAGTAGTTTAGCAACCACCTCAGAAATATAACAGAAACAGCAAGTGTTTCCATCAAGAAGTAAGGATAACAAAATAAGCTTCGTGACAAAGCAAGAGCCAACAACAACTACAACAAAAAAATCACCCATCATGTGATGCGGAGAGGATTCCTATCCCAGGCATGATAGCCAAACCTCGAACTGTATCTGCAATGTTTAATTGATGTTTAACCAGGGATTTAAAAAGCAAATAAGAATACTGAACCAAGGGTGGAATCAGTAATTTTGTTTGATAAACAAATAAATGCCACTCAATTCCAATGTTAAGTTCAGAACTACTAGTCCAGAGACAAACCTGTATGACCAACAAAAGTATGTGCACATGTGACACCCTTCCAAAGCTTTAATGTCATATCACTGGAACCTAATAGCCATAATGATAAATAAAAAATGTAAAAGTATAATACTCTATGAAGGGATAAAACATTCCTTGTAAATGTGTAGAGTGTAGACCAACACTATTGACCTAATTTAGTTTTAGATTCATTAACAATACAAATAATAGGCAACTAGGCAAGTCTTTAAGATGATTTTACACCCTTACCTGTCACAAGCTCTCCTGAAGGCAACTTAATAAGGGCTTGAATGGGTGATTTATGAGCTTCCAGAACTTCAATCTGTTTACCACTCCTCCATCGACGTAATGTACTGCAATGTAAGGATATAATTAATACTTCGTATAAGAATAAACCAACTCACAAGAGTTAAAGTGGAAAAGAATCCATATACATGACAAAACAATAAAATTAAACAATAGGCCATAGCTATTACAGTTGTGGAAAATGCCCAAACAAACTATAACACAAGATGAAAAACTAACTTACCAATCAACAGAAACTGACACAATATCTGAGCCATCCAGAGCAATGCCAGACACTTGCAACTTATGGCCTTTCAGCTCCTGAATTTTCTCGCCTGTTCCCAAATTCCATACAAAAATGTTTGTATCCATGCCTCCAGAAACAAGTGCACCCTCTTGAAATTCCTCAGTTGGAGAGACCCAAGCCAAGGGGCCCACAAAACTTGTATGACCCAATAATATCTTTGACATAGTGTAGTCACGGTTGTTTGAACCATCTGGTAACCACAACCTAACAGTTTGATCTCTAGATGAAGTTGCAATTCCAGTATTCCCACATATGCATATACCACGAACCTAGTTATTTGATGAAGCAATAAATCCTTAATAAGTTCACATAGTCATATGTCAAACAATAAACACGCTTTAAATGCGCTAGAAAATCTCTAGATATATGTTGTGATTCACATGTGCACTTGAGTGTATTCTTGTTGTACCTCAAAATCAATATAATTGATCACACATTATTTCATTAAATTTAGGCCCACATATATATAGGAATACAAGAATGATCAAGGGTGGTAAGCTTAAGATGAACAATCTTAGGCCTCTTTCATTTTAGGCCAAAGATGAATTCAATTATCCCAATTTCATTACTAATTCATCTCAAGTATTAGTTTCAACCATTACATCATGTTAAGAATTAAATTTTACTAGATAAAAATATATTTTCCATAACAAATTAATCTTAACCATTAGACTAGTATTGAAAATGAAAAGCTAGTATGAGACTAAAATATAATGTAGCCTGATTACCATTGCTCGTGTTAACCAACTAAAAAACAACACAAGAAGAACGAAACAGTGTAACGGATTCAGTAAATATTAGCTGAAAGGGAGAGCATAAGAGTAAGATAATGTACATCGTCTTCGTGGCCTCGAAGCTGGCATCTCAACCGATACTCTGAGAAGTCGACTTCCATCACAGTCTGAGAAGAACAGAGGCTTGCACGAGGAAAATTAGGGTTTTAGAGATAGCATGGAGCATGAGAAGATGTTTGTTCAAAAAATACTTCTGAAATGAATGATAAAATCGGAAGAAGAAGATATGTTTAACCGGGATCTTTACGAACCTTCTTAGATGTACAGTAGCGTGTGATGGGAAGTGAGAGAATGCGCTTCTCTAGACTGACGGGATCGCTTGCTCTCCAAGTTTATGAACCGTATGGCTTCTTCTTTCTCTTTGAAATCTCAAATCTGATGCCGTTTCAGTTCCTTTATTTTTCAACAGAAGAAGCGACGCTAGGAAGGATTTTAATTGGGTTTTGTTCGAAGAGGTTTTGTTTGTAACTTCGTATGCAAGTTTTTAGGTGAGAAAAATAATAACTCAAATATGATTCTTCAACCTGCATTGATAGAATTTTATCAATCTTTTTCAAGCTAGTACATAATAATATTTCATTTAAGATTTTTTTTTACTATAAAGGGAGTTTCAGTCTTGCTTACTTCAGACTCCTCCCAGCCCCATGAGACCCTCTGTCTAGGGATGATTCGATACGGTATATCATATATTTTTTCTCATACCTTTGTCGTACCAAAACTTTTGGTATGCAAAATTTGCATACCTTTACCTTATCGAAGTTTCGGTATACCGAAGTTTCGGTATACTGAAGTTTCGGTCCGGTAACGGTACGGTATCAGTAAATTACCGTGCATGTCTCTCAATACAAAAAATTATTATAAACTAACGATATATACTAAATCGTTATTACTAGTGACATATTAAATCTATTATTAAAATGTTACGAAATACAATTAATAATCTATTGATGTCAATTCAATATTGAACAATAATTATTATTAATGTATTTAAGCAGTTCAACATGCCACATATTAAAAAGTAACACATTCTCCTAAAATAACTTGAACAATATAAATATAATTAAATCAATAGTGATCTCTAAAAAAAACTATTCAAACAACATGGATATAAAATTATTTAGGGTCTGTTTGCAACAGCTTCTGCTTTTAAAAAAGTATTTTTTTAAATGAAATGAGGAGAAGTGATTAAATAAAAGTTGATAGTGTTTGAGAAAAAAGTGATTTTGAAAAGTAAAAGTGGGTAGTGTTTGGTAAAATAAGTGTTTTTATGTAATAGAAAAGGTAAAAAGCACTTTTGACGCGGAAGCCGAGAAAAATAAAAGTTGTAGTGTTTGGGAAAATAAGTGTTTTTTAAAAGCCAAAAGCTGAGAAGTGCTTTTTTAAAAGTAGTTGCAAACCAACCCTTATTCCTAATATGATATTGTGTATTTAGTCATTTTTTATAATTTTTTAAAAATTGAATAAAACTTTCGGACAAAGTTGTGTGTCTCGACTCGCGGATTCCCTATGTAGATACACTTATCACATAAGTGTATCTCTCTTCACTCGTCAGCTACTTAGCGGCCCAACCATCACGACTTGCAAGCTCTTGGAACAAGATGAACTTGTTTCTTGACATTTGTACATTACTCATTAGTCATTAAGGTTAGCGGACTAGAAGCCTATTATGTTATAGTGAGTTTGAGAAATTGGGCATTTATTTTTGTACTACCTCCGTCCCAAAATTAACTTCTCAGTTTGACTTCACACAAATTAAGAAAATAAATTTGACTTTACTGTGGGAGTGCATTGTTTTACATTGTTTAAACACTGTTTGACACTGTTTGACACTGTTTGGCACTTTTTTGATGTAGATTATTTGCCAAATAAGGAAAGTTTTGAAGTGTGAAGTTAATTTCGGGACTGCCAGAAAAGGAAAGTGAGAAGTTAATTTTGGGACGGGGGGAGTATTTTGTATTTGTAACCAATTCACTTAAGTATTAATCTTGGGTTTCAAAATTGTAATGAATTTTTACAATATATTAGAATTAAAAGTAATTGTTGAGTAGGGAGGGAGTCGGTACGTTATTATACCGGTATACCGCGGTATATGAAAACATTTACCGTACCGAAATAGATCAGTACGGTATGATACCGTACCGAAAATGACGGTATACCAATATTTCGGTATTTTCCGGTATTTTTCGACACGGTAAGTGCGGTATACCGATTTTTCGGTATTTTTGCCGACCCCTAAGTGAGTCAACGATCAGTTAAGCTAGATCACTTCCTTAATATTTCATTTTAAAATTCATATGCATATAAATTGTAGCTGTATTTAGCTTTTTTGTTACCAGAGAATTGGCAAGTCCAGTAGAACAGCCTAACAGGATTGATCGAGAATGTGTTGAAAGTTTGAAAAAAACAAAATATACTTTGCACGGAGTAAATCATATACTAACATACATTTAGACCTTAATTTTAAAAATTTCCAACCATTAAGATGACCCAACAAAATGAACACTTGATTTTTAATTGATATATGAATGAACAAAATTCAATGTTATACGTAGTATATCAAAATGCAATGTTCAATAACATTAACCACTTTATAAATCAGTTTTGTAACTATGTAACATTATCCACAAATGACGTGATTAAACCAGAATTATGACATGTATGCTAATAGCCGGTGAATAAATGATTTGATACATAGTTGACCTGATTGAAGTCATTGAACAGGTAATTTCATTATATCAAAGTCATCAACTCTGCCAACTCTTTAGATATTAACATGGGTAGTTCATGGGGTTACTTTAGTCCAGTCCTCTGGAAACTTTAACAAGTACAGCAAGGTTGAAGAAATAGGATATTTCTCCAGGAGATACATTCATCTTTCCTATAGTTAACAAATTGCAAAAAAACAAGCACCAAGTGACTCATAAAATTGAGCAGGCAAAATGAGGTGTAAATCTGGAGGGTAACTACCAAAAGTAAAATAAAAATAACAAATCTAAAATCTGAAGAGAGATATATTGGTCTTCCATCAGAAACTGCTGCTTCAGCTGACGAGTTTGGTATATTAGATCTGGAGAGAATGCAGAAATGTCTTGTCAAGATTCCCTAAAGGAACCGCTTCTAGAAGCTTTTAATCCCCAGGGTGGCAAACAGTGTGAGTGCAAGAACAATGGCACTTCTTTATCCCTTTTACGCATTGAGATTGATGACAAGCAGCCAAACGAGCTTCTGAGTTTCCTCTTCTCATTGTCACTGCCCTTAAAATTCCCACTCTTCTGCTGCACAGCCGATGCTTTAAGGGATTCTGGCAGTATGCAGTTGCATAATGACCCTAAAGTAGAGAGTCAGGCAAAAGAGTTAAAAAACGGATAGAGAGATTGATGCAATCCTTGAGTGGGTCAGCATCTATTCTACACAATACACACCTCAACAGTGTTGTTAAAAATCATTAAAGCTCAGTTTGGAACCCAGAAATTGCTAGGGAAAGAAAATAGGGAGGGAATCTGAAAAGGAAGAAAGAAAGTTTTGGGATAAAGTAAATTCATCAACTTTTTTTCTTTTTAGTACCATTTTCCACATTCCAAGCATAGGCCAAGTGTTCTCAGTTGGTTCAGGCGGTCCATGGGTCCAGTTTTGAAAATGTCATACCAAAAACTAAACATAATAACTTAATTTATAGGTTTGTCCCTCCAGGTTGGTTTTGGACAATTTCAGCCACTTTTGTTGGCTAAGTCAGTTTCGGTCTATTTTGTCCTGTTTTTACCCAAAATCTTTTGGGAATAAGGCTTGGATGTTGTTGTTGTTGTTGTTTGTTGTTCTGGTCGGTTTTGAGATCCCGACTCTTAACCGTGAACCAAACCGCTTAAGGTACGATTAGTTTCTGTGTTGGTTGGTTAATATTTGGCTGATTTGGTTCAATAGGTTTTGGTTCGACCGCCTTCGACGGGGACGGGGCCTAGACACTTACTCGTTTGAGGATTAACTGGGCCTAGACACTTACCCCTACACGCCTAAGTAAAAGCTTAGCACCCACAATGGGATTTATTTTCAAAAGACTCCTTGACATTTGATGTGCTTTCTAGCTTGTGCGTGAGAAACTCTACAAACGCATCTCAAGAAGCAAATATTAAAAATATTAATCAATTAGTCCATATTAATACATAAAGAAAACTTGTTGGCAAAATAAGAATATGGCACCTATTCTGGCTAGCCGATTCACCCATTTTGGAATGTTGTTCCCTGTCAATTTGTAGCATATATCCTGACAGAAATGGTTACAGTTCCTACTGATGAGATGATACGAATCACCAAGGTAATTTGCAGATTGGTGCTCCATGAACTCTCTAACTTGGATTGGGTCCAAAAAAGTGGTTCCTATCCGAATTGACCTCCTAAACTTAAAGCCAGGGCACTGTCTTGGTTCAACCTCAAATACACCGCTTGTTGGATATTCATGTGCCCCAAATGCATATTCAACACCATACACTGAAATACAAAAATATTAGTTATAACTACTGCTCACCACTGTCTGAGAAATAAATTGAAGCATTAACTAGTGTCTTTAATATTGCATGGAGATCCATTCTTCATGATTAACCACTTAATCTAACAACAGAACGAGTTCATAAGAGCTCTCAAGAAGAGGTGATGATTTCGAATACTTACTCTAGTTTCACATTGAGTCAATCTGTCAATGTGGACACTTTTCAACAACAAATACATTCTATTCTAACTATGTATTACTCGTTATCATGATTCCTTTTTAGATAGCGAATGCTCTCTCTATTCCTTCCTATTTTGATTCCTTCTTATTGTGTCTCAAAACTTTTCACTGATTCTTAAAGAGTATGCTTGGAACTAAAAAATTGCAAGGGAAACAAAATAGAAAGGAAAGTACACTAACGATTTGGAAGAAAAGAGAATGAGGGGAAAAATATTACATAATCCATATTTCATTTTCAGAGATAAAACCAACCACGCAAAAACAGCTTAGAATTTTTATTTTTTCATTTCCCAAGAACTCTGGGATCCAAACATACAAGATGCTTGAAGATTCTGTTAGAACTTGTAACTTGTCATAATGATTTAAGTTTGCCGCAGGTTAGCAATTATCTTTCTTGGATTCATTAATTAATGTCATTTATTATTAGACTAGATTCTTGATTAAAAAGGCTCAGAGCTAAAACAATTTAATAATGCAACCCATACATCAGAGAGTATTGACTGACCTTCAATCCCAGTATGAAAGACGCCAACTCCAGCCCAGTAGAAGTATCCATTAATGGGAGTCAAGTCATAAACATTAATATAAACCGGTGCGTTTCCTGGACTACATCCTGAAGACTTGACACTAGAGAACATACAAAAACTGGGGGCGGATTCACCTTGCAAATGGATGGGTATAATGGAACGCAAACCATTCTTTAGTTTGGACGTCATACTCAAGGTGTGAAACTAGGACTAATTCAGCACCCAGTTCCAACCTGCAACGAAGAAAAATATAGACATTGTAAAAGAAAGAACTCTTCAAGCTATGGTGTAGCATTTAAAAGTCTTCATATATGATATCCATAAGGTAAGGCCGTGTACAAAGATCAATCATATGAAAGGAAAATCCAATTTGAGCCCACAAATTGGTTTGTTGACCCCTATTGAGCCCACAAATTGGTTTGTTGACCCCTATTGAGCCCATCAACCTTTAAATAGACATATTTAGCAAGTCAGAACCAAAACTTAAGCTATGTTTGGCACACCGAGCAGACTAATGTCTGATCAGGGGTTATTTTCTGAACAAGATATTGTGAGGAAAAAGATTTGAGGATGCTGAACCTGGAACACATCTTGAATCAAGTAGTCCCATTTGGTGGATAAGATAAAATGATGACCAGAACGTTTTTATTTGACATTAAAGAGCATAATTTCAATGTTTCAAGGATAGGTTTGGAACAAAAAGTCTAGAATGCATTGGGCAGGGATGAAAATCTAAACAACTACTGCGTGATTTTTTCTACCGCAGCCCGCATAAGCCTTCTATCCAATCAAAGCTTTTGATACATAAAAGAGCAGCATTTGGACATGTTTAGCACGTCATGGGAGAACTTAAGCTACATTGAGCCCTTCTATCAATGTATCTTTATCTAAACTTACCCTCCATGAGAATCCTCAGCAATGTTCACGACAAAGTGCCATCTGTTTGGGGTTTATATGAGTTTCTGACAACTTTCTCAGGTACTAACGAATATGAGTTTCTAACAGAGCTTGCATATGAAAGAAGGGTTTAATGTGGATCAAGTTTGCACCTAGCCTGCTCATGTCCTCAAGATGTCCATTTAGAAGTTGGGGGGCTCAATGGGGGCAACAAGCCAAGTTCACGCTTAAAAAGGGGGGTAATTATTCAGTTCAAGAAGAAGATGGAAGAGAATTGCAGAACTGGAGCTATATATGAGTTCAATCATAAGCATGGAACAATACCTCATCTCTTCGGTTCAAAGGAGCTGGAATTTTAATAGAATAATAAACAATTGCACAAAACATACGCATTGTGGTTCGCAGCATATTCTCGTTTTCTTATTTATGCAGAAAAGTATAATATAACCGTAAGAAAATCAAACCAGGTTGGATCTTAATAATTAGAGAATTCTTCAAGAAAGCGAGGATCGGAATTACGAGAAACCAAAAACAGATGAAGAATTTGCGAAGCAATGAAATTAAGCAATGTAGTACACATATTACAATGGCCATAAACAGATGGGTTTCAGGCAAATAGTTACACGTCAAATCAGGAAGAGAAGAAGAAGAAGAGAGAATAAATAATTTTTTTTTCTGAAGAATAACCGCTTACCTTGGATCCTAGAGCTACATTCAAAATGGCAGGAAAGGAGAAGCCATTAAAGAGGCAGTGAGTGTGGGGTGAAATTTGTCTGCTTTAAAGGAAGCACATTCTCTAATAGTGAATCGTAGCAAAAGCTGATGCCAAACTGATTGAAAGAAGTACGGAGCATCAAGAAGCGTCATTAATGCTTTAGATGATGAGATCAGCCATTTTTCTATTTGGATTTGTCTCACTTTCATGATAATTCAGGTATACCACACAGCTATCTACTTAATCATACATAAAACAATCTTGGGTCCTTTCAAAACTGTCCGTACTCCATAGCAAATCGGGAGATACAGTCACTAACCCGAGTTCTTTAAATGTTGACGAGAGAAAAATGTTTTCATCCCGATTTTTTCATAGCTGTGGTTATATTAAAATCGAGAGACTAGAGCACATACAAAACAATATTCAGGCAAAATTTACAGGAGAGGAGTAGATTTAAAGTCAGTCACCTTATACAAAGCAGTCACCTTATACAAAGCAGCATGACTCGTTGAACCTGAAACGGACAAATTTAGGCCTAAAATGACCGAAACTGAAACCCTACCTATAAAAAAACTCCAAAAATCCAAACATTTAAACCAAATATACTCGGACTAAAACAAAAACAATTGCAACTAAAAAGAAAATAATACTGAAATAAAATCTTTTTTCCTGGTGCAGAGTTGGTTCTGAAGGAGGTCGAGCTCTTGCAATATAGGTGAATACCAACTCCACCGCTGTCGGAATGGCCGACCAAGGCTTCACAATCCAGCCTCGAACAACCTCCCAGCCACACCTCATTCATCTGTCAACTTCTATCTCCTCCGACATAGTTGCAATCCCAAGCGTTAGAACACTTAAAATCAGTATAATATGTCGCCCCAACCCCATATTGATAGGGGCGACGAAAAATCTCAACCCCTACAAAGAGGGGAGACGGCCGCTAGGGTTCCCCTCTCTCTCTAGAGAAAAATCTATTAGTTGCTTGACATCTCAATTGGATATTCCATCCATCTTTTGTGGCATACCTTACAAAATTTGCATCTTTAGCATCAATATGAAGCCCGAGATTGTCTTATTGAATGATTATAGTCATGTTTTGTGCATTCGGACACTTCTGTTTTATTGCTGACAGTAGTTAATTATGTATTATATCCTTTACAATTGCTCTTGTAACACTTACAGTTGTTTTAGTCTCTAATGTACCTGCTAGTCTGTTTTTACTTGATCTCTTGGTCGTGTATTAGTAAGTGAATGGAAATATTTCAACCTTTCCATCCCATAAAGCCTCCCCACTGTCCCTCAGTCTAAGTTTGCCCAAAGCTGCTAAGAACATAATCTTTGGTATGAATATCTTAGACTGGACAGTCTTTTTTTTTTTTTTTTTTTTTTTTTTACCCCGGAAGGTCAACCACCAAAATCAGTGGGGTAAATGCCGGGGGACATTTACCATGTTTTATTACCAATCAGAACAAAATAATACAAATTCGGGGGGACCATACCTAACCCGAGGAAAGAAATCAAAAAATTACAATCGTAACGAAGGAATGCCAAAAAAATCCATCCAAAAAGCCCTTTTAGCCATGATCGGAAGCTGACCAACATTAGACATAATGATTAATGTGTTTGTCCGGTTTTGGGCCAGATGATGTGCGGCCCAATTACCTTCACGTTTAATGTAGCCCATCCGCAGCTCCTTCCTAAAACACATATGTAGGCTTTCCTGAATCGCAGTTGCCCATCGACTTCCTTCTCTTCCCTCGAAATAGCTTAAGGCCAGAGATGAATCGGTTTCAACTTGAAAACGGGAGTAACCTGCCTCCACCGCCCAGTTCATAGCGAAGATAAGAGCATGAATCTCAGCTTCCAATGGAGATCGAGCAGTGATAGACTGGACAGTCTTGTAGGGGTAATCTCTTTGTAATCATAAAAGTGATGAAATGTTGGGATCAAGGGTAATGAGGAAGGATTTATATTCTTTAAATAGAAATTTAACCTCTTCATTTTTTCCACATCATTTAAAAGGCACCTAATTGCATTGGACTGCTTTTTTATTTGCTACCCCTTAAACCACCTTTGGACAGTAGATTTGGACACTTCCATATCATAGGCCAAAGCTCTCATGTCTTTTTGTGGTCATAAGGGATTTCTTTAATCAAATGCCTTTGTTTTTTACCCACGCATCCCTTCCACAGTTCCACGTGCTCTGGACATTTATTGGTAGGCCAACTTTCAATTTTTGTTTTGCTATGTGCCATAAATTCTGGACAGTTTTTTCCTGACACGTTGAACTTCATGGTTGTATTTGTCAATAAGCCCCTTTGAAGTTGTCATCCATTCGCATTGCTTAACAATATTTGAATGGTTCTTTTTCTCTGCTCACATGTAAGTTTAGGCCATTTTCTGTCGCCAGAACCTGCCCCAATTGACTCATGCCCCAATTGACTCACCCTCCTCAGTTTGTATTTGTACAGGTAAGAGTGAAAGATGTGCACCTTGAATTGGAGGTGGCAGATTGAGATCCAAACTCTAACTTTGATCAGAATCTTTTGCGCTAAAGTTATCCATTTCTAGCTACACTAGTGGAAGTATCTTAAGAAGTAAAGGATGTTTAATTTATGTCTACTTATAAAAAAAGGTAACAATTGCAAAAGGGAGAGAATCTCAATTGTTTTGGGAGGGAACTTCAAAAAAAAATGGTGATTTGTACAGTTTTCAATAGTTTGAGAGGTGTGTGTTGCCCCATGTTACTACTCCTTTGCTCCACTCCCCTTTATTTTTTGTCAGCCTCCAATTTAATAAATCAAGAGTAAATTTGGAAAGTCGACATTATTTTTCATTTTGCCTAAAAACCTGTGAAGTCAAAATAGGAGTATTTCTTTGAACGCTGAAGTGTTATCTAAACATGTACAAAGAGTTGCTTATTAACACAATTATTCCACATGCAGACATGCTCAACAGTCAGCATCTGAGTTGCAATTTTTGAGAGCAACGCTATGATTTGCACAAGTTTTTCAATCTACCAACAAAAACTGCAGATCAGTTGTAAATTTTTCATAATCATGTTTTTCGTTAAAAAGGCATGCAATATAAAAATCACCGAACGGGCCTTTAATTGTTCAAGAACACATGTGGGAGCTTGACACATTAATCAAACAAGGAAATAAGAATATTTTGAACTGAACTAAAATTTTATCTACTCTATTTAAGTCTTATCTTGTTTGAAGCGGAATGATACATGTTTGTTCAATATGTATTTTACAATTGGCAAAATTTAATCCGTCCTCATCTAATTTGTTTAAGTCTAGCTTATGCTGCAACCAATCCAATTTAAAATATCCCAAATAGTGTCATATCACGCATTTGGTAGTTGATACCATAGTCAAACGCAACCCCACAAGTCCAAAATGTACTAGACAGTGAAATTATAAAATTTTCATGTACCATCATCGACTCAAAATTTTGTGACTAAACATAAACAAATTACGCTACAAGTCTACAATTGCTACGAGGCTTTGATTGTCCATGAAAATTTTAGTACCTCGTATTTTCATGTATCTCGTATTTCCTCTAAATTAAATGTCTACAAGACTACAACCTAAACACCTGCGAACACAAAACTGTATAACCCTACCTCTCTAAATATATCTGCGACAAGATTCAAAAGTTACAGGGTACAAAGTTATTATCCCATATACTTTTCTGTAGTCGTCCACTGACCACCCTATAACTGAAAAAAAATTGAACTACATAGTCACAACTCATAATTTCCTCTATAAGTTACATGTCTACAACCCAAACATCTACGAATACAGAAAAGTGTAAACCTACCTCTCTAAACACTCACATTTTTAGGATAAAAAAGGAAACAGGGAAAAGGAAAGAAAAGGCTCCTACGTGATATATTATATACTTCGTATTATATAAACCAATCATTTCTCAATCCCCTGCTGAATATACTGTATCAAATCATACACAAAAGTACTCCACTTGTTATATGCATCGGTGCACGTCCTAATCATAAAGATGGCTGCTTCCCGTTCACTCATTTCAGGATGGAATCTCTTGCGAAGATTCCCTATCGGGTCCCCCCTACTGAAGCAAGGCAGTCCACTGTCTGTCATCAATAACACTGTATTTATGATCTCATCCGTGTAGCGGCGTGCAGCCAGGTACCCCTTCACACACAAGCTGCAAAGATGCAACAGCATAGATACGACCGGTTTATTCAGCACATATAGGTTTAGAACATATAAAAAATAAGGAAAAAACACTTATGGTTTCATGGCTATTAGGCTTTCATGGCTATTAGGCATTCCACCACTTCTCTTTAATTTTTCAACTCTTGGTGCACGAGTATGGATTTGTCATCACTTATGATCACTTATCTGGCATATTTTCCTATACTTTTTGCCAGATAAGTACTGTAAATGATAAAAGAGGCCAGAAATCCATTATTATGCACCAAAAAATTGAAATCCAGGTACTAATGTCAGGAATAAACTAATCATTGAGAACCATAGGTGGGGAATGTTCTTAAAACTTGTTACAAAAAAGACATCTCACCTTACAAATTGATACCAGGAGTCGCTTTTCATCGATCCGGATGGATCGATTAGTTGAGTCATCTCATGACTTAGCTTGAAGTTAGCGCTTTCAAATCCCATATTTCTAGCAGGTGAAGTCTCTAAGATAAAACCAAAATCGATATGCACTAACCTCCCAAGACTGCATTGACCAAAAACTGTCTTAAGTGAATCTCTGTACCATGGTAACTCTACCTCCCACCCGACCCCATTTAGAGCAAATGAAAATTGAACAGAGAAATGCACTTTTCATTTTCATGGTTAATCATGCACCTCAAACAACCATTGTGGTGGGATTGGCTCTGTGTATGCGGGAGATGAATACATATGTCCTATCATGGATTTCACATTTATGGTTTCTAGCCAAACTACACGATTTTCTTATTATTTTCATTAACAGATTTTTCTTATTAAATAGTCAAGTCATTTGGTTTACGAAAGAGTAAAGAACTAGGAATGTAAATTATGGTCTTCAATATACTATTTCATGGTAAGAAGGTTGCTATAGGATGGTGATCCCACATCCGACATAAACTTTGTACTTATAACTATTGGCATAAACTCATAATGTTAACTAATTATAAACAATTAATTGAAAATATAGAATTCATCCCACCAAACATGGGGTAAATGGGAATATACTCATGGTGATTACAAACGACGACTAATACTAAATTAAGTATTACAATATTTATATTCAGATTAACTTTGGCTGAGACAGAGACAATATCCGGAAACACTTTTATGGCATTTTTGTTTCAAGGTGAAAATAAGTTCTTCTAGGTTGATTTTAGGTCCACCTAGTCTCGTTTGTATTTTTTAAAAGAACCTAGTTTTAAAGTGAAACTATATTTACATCGGAGAACTTCCAAAAACCTCCAATAACCCAGTTATACAGAACCACTATTAAAAATATCGAAGGTTAAACTTTCTTTATAAGTAAATTTAACATATTGACCTAGGTTAACCTTCACCCATGCAAACTTTTACCGCATTCACTTGAGTTGACCTAGCATTTATTCATATGACAATTTTATATGTGCAACTGAGTTCAACTAGGTTTACCCAATTTTAATAAGCCTAGGTTCACATAAATTCACTAGGTTTACTTAAACTTACTCTATCCAAAAGGCGGTTAGTTTCACATTGTGAGGGAAAATGTTCCTTGAAGAAAATGTTTGTTCGGTTCATTTAACTTTTGTGAAAATGATTTCATCTTTTTAAAATAGTCATTTTCCTGAAGCCGCTTTATTTTTCCATTTTTTGTGGGTTAAGCATTACATGATATATGTGTATAGAGCAATTTATTTTCTTGGAAAAACACTCTTCATCAAAACTTAGCTTCCACTTTCCAGTAATCGTATGGAGCCTTTGAATAGCATTTGTGTGTAATAACTATATTATTAACCCCTAAAAATTCTCATTAATCCGAAAGAGGGGATTTATAAAGAAACATTGGAAGAGCGATATGGTATATGTGGCTAATGTACCAAAAGTAGGTCGTATATGTGGCTAATGTACCAAAAGTAGGTCGTACATACTTGTCAAATAGAAGGTTCCCATTATGTCTATCCTTTGGTTGAAGCAAAAGGCTAGCAACAGCATAGCCAGCACTACTAATGATGAAGTTCTTTCGAGCAGCTTCAAAACCAGGAGAACCAACTGGTCCATAATCCTGTTGAAAAATCTCATACAATCCCCCATCATTTGTCTCTCCCATTTGAGTCCGGCTCCTCGTATTAGGTACAACCTGTATAAAGATTTCTTGTTAACTCCTCTTTAAATAGAGTAATAGACCATGTTAGTGAAACGTAAAGAAAAGTGAAGGAAACCCTAATCGGAAGTACTATTTACGAAATGTATGATAATTGCCCAAAATAAAACCTTGACAATAACTTAGTAGTGGTAGTACCTCAATTTAGACATCTACTTCCTTATAGACTCAATTTGGTTCATCAAAATAATTGCCCAATTAAAACCCTTGACAATGCACTATTACACTACAACTCCATTTAGATATCTACTTCCTTTTTAACTTCTTTTGATCATGAACTGGCCCTTTCAATTGAGAATTTGAGATTAGTGCTCAGGCATACTTGACTCTAATTAGGAAGGCTATTTTTGTTCATCTGCGTGGTTCCCACATTTATTCTTTGTTGGTTAAAAACACAAAACATCCTAAAGTCGAGGAATGAACATGCACAAATATTGAAGGGACAGAATCAAATTGGGTCCACATTGCATAGCCGGTGACTAAAATGAGTACCAAGAAAGTCAAGAACCAAATTGAGTAATAGTGTATGGTCAAGGGACTAAATTAGGTATTAGCTATTTATACAAATCGTAGAAGCCACATCTCAATTTCATGATCAAGTTGATGATTGACACAAGATAAATATGTAGTAAAGAATAGAAACCCATAAAAATTTACAGAAGGAAATCTATACATCATTCTACTTCTCAACAACACCTAGCTATTAACAATTAAACCATTATTTAGAGCAAGTGAGAGATACAACTAGATGGGTTATACTATCATTACAACCCAAAAGCTTCAACACCTTTAATACTAAACTTATCCTTTCCACTTGAATTTTTTTCGTTTCATATGACCTTCATATTTACTCTGTCACACACATTTTTCCCCTATCAAGTAACAACAAAGATGAAATCCAATCTTCATATTTTACGTGAAACATATTTACACATAAAAATGTAAGCATACATAGAAACAAATGCAATGGCCAATAAACACTGACCTCAATTATTCCTCTTTCTGGGCCCGTTGGGAGAACTCCATATGGAAACAGATAGAGATTGAGCCCAGCAGCTTCAAATATATCCTTGAGAAGAGAAATGACTTGTAGAGCAAGAACATCTTGCCGACAATCATCTCCAACCTACATGAGGCAACGACCAGATGTTTACTAACTATGCAGGCAAAAAATGACTTTGAGGGGTGTTTACTAAGTTGTCATTTAAATCTGGTAAGGCTTTATTAATCTCACCTTGAATATGCATGCCTGGGCCTTTATATCATTTTCACTCCCATCTCGATCCACCACGTTAAATGTGTTATCATGATAGGAACCTTTGCTGCTGATTGTAAAGGGATTCCACTGTCAACTTGAATACCTCTGACAAGTTTAGTCGGAGCAGTAGGTAGATAGAGGTCATTCCCTTGCACCTGAATTTTTTCTAATTCCCTGTTCAAAAAATAAAAAACAATCTACAATGTCAGAAATATGAATATGTATAAGAAGTTAATTATCCAGGCGTCCAGTTTATCTCAATTATATTACCTTCGAATTCCAGCTCTTCTTTCCTCCTTTGGAAGTGGATAAAGAACACCAGATATTGATGTGACCTTGTCAAAGAAATCAAATTCTCTTTGAAAGACATCAAGTGCTTTAGGACTGAAGCTGTCAATTATATGCTGCCTAAATGCCAGCAAGAGTGCCTGAAACGTGTTGTTCTGCTAGGGAAACATAAAAATATACCTGCTTAACATTCCTCTTCATCCTTCTATATTTCTGCTTTTGGATAAAACTGAAGATTACAAAAATGGCTTAAAAAATGGACAACCAGCCTAATGTAATGTGCAATAGGGAAAATATAGAGCTTAGGTATTGGATACTCTCATACTCCTTAATATTCCCAAAGGACTTTCTAAAGCCTGATTTTATTTAACTTTAAGAGTAAACATCATTTGTGTCCATGGACATTTTAAATTTAAGAATACAAAAGTGAGACTTGACTATCCAAATGTAGAGTCTATGCCTTAATTTTAAAAGGCGTGAGGTGGCATGGAGCATTTTCATTGATTTACCGGAGGCGCGAGGCGCGCGCCTCACAGATCTTAAACTCCTATCTTTGGTAAAATATATTTATACTTCTACATGAAGCACTCTTCTCAAAAAGCACCTCACTTACTACATTAACTTTTATATTGGAAAATGATTGAGCGTTAATAATAAAAACCTCTTTAAAGCTTATAAATACACCTTAAAGTACTCTTTAATTTATGCATTATGCACTCTGAAATAGAGAGTAGATCCGGGGATGCATGGAACTTGTCTCCTATGTTGCACCGATACTTGACTCTGATGTCGTATCCGCGTATCCGATACGTATCCAATACCGATACGCATCTTGTACGTATTGGGTCTGTATCCGTAATTTAATAAAAGTATCGGGCTTATTTGTAAAAGTACCAATACTTCCGATACCCATATCCGTGAACCGATACGCGTATTTGACCATATAACCTTCATTTCATACACGACATGACAAAAATTTAGTAGCCGCCCAAGCGACCACAAGATGTGGAACATTAATAAAGATGATTCGGGAGTATGGAAACTAATGGAATACTATAATTTGTCATTTTATCATTTGATGAGCTTTAATTGAAACAAGACTTAGATGTAAATGCAAATAGAGAACAAAAAAATATTTGAATGTAAATCGAAATATCAGCACTTCAGTTTTTTTAGCATAATCTTTGAAATCTTATTATAATAGTTAATTTTTGTACTATTATTATTTTATTTATGAACCCCAGAATTATATATTTGCAAATTATATCCTATATTTTTAATATTTATAAATATACCCCCCTACCCGTATCCTATAGTTTTTGAAATTAACGTATCGCCGTACCCGTATTCGCGTATCGGCGTATCGACGTATCCGTGCAACATAGCTTGTCTCCTATACTAGTCTAGTTAAACAATAGTAGTTAAAAAAGTGGTTTAAACATAGCATCCCTGGTATTAAGAAAAATATCTAGTGCTATGTGACATAAATGATTTATTTGCAAAAGGCATACCTTTCCAGAAGCATCTTTCACAGATTCTGGTGTGCATGTCTCTCCCTATAATATTATTGGAGTGAGCAGTTATATAAGGAAACTAAAGTATGTATAGATTAACCGAAAAGGGAAATTCATGCACCTGTAAATGCCATATCAGAATATGAGCAAACACGTCACTTCGATGTGCAGCTCTAAGTAAGTATCCTTCTACCAACCTCTACATATGATTAACAATCATAATTAAGAGTTACTGAAGGATTATACTAGGTTCTATTCAAAATATACATGCATAAATTTGCAGCTTCAAAACTAAACTCTGACTTTACATGTAAGTACTTGGTATTAAATATATCTGAATCACTAACGGATACCTCTTCATCATATCTTAAAGCCTGCACCAGTTGAGGCATGAAGAAAGTCACACGATCAGGAGGATACGATTCCAATACCCTTAGGACATAAGCCATCACCCGAGGGTGGCCCTTGTATGGTGGTGAAAGGAACTCCAAAGCCATTGTGATTGAACAAGAAGCCCAGTGAGGCAATTGTTGCAAAAGTGATGAATTCTCATCAACGGCCTTAGGAGTGACAAAGTATGGCAAAGCTTCCGGTATGTTGCGAATTTCTAGTATGTGCAACTACAATAGGAGAAAAAAATAGAAATGTGGGTAAAAATGATTGATTTTATCACAGTAACAAGACTAGTGATTTCTGATCTCTAAAATTTTGTTAGAACATACCTGAACCAAAAGAGCCACTTCACTTTTTAAAGCATTATTTGTGGGGAATCTTGATGCAAGAGATAAAGCTATCCGGGGATCAACAGAGAAGGCTGTCTTAGCATACTCAACCAATTTATCTGTGCTAACTTTAGGCCGTGAAACGCTTTCCCTTAACCACCAAAAACAAACTATGTAGAGATTAGCTAGCTAGCACTGGAAAAAAATTTTGAAAGAAAAAAATGTCTGGCAATTTTATTGTAGTTTACTTGGCAACGATGGGTTGTGCCCAAACATCAAGTCTGTCGGTCTCATGCTGGCATAACATCAAAAGTAACTGTTTCCGCTTCTCTCTTCCAACAGTGTAGTTCTCTATCTGACCCCAAATTGGGTGACAGTGATCTTTCTGGATAAAGTAATAAATTTCATGAAATGAGCAAAATGATATGGGTTCAGTATTTGACTGTGTGTTGTGTGTTTCCATAACTAAGGCAGTGCTAGACTTGCAAAACTTCATTGATTTGATTCTTAAATGACCTACACTTGAGGTAAAATAACAAATGACCTATATTATGAATGAACCATGTTACTGTTTTTCATTTAAACCTATGCTGAAAGTGATGTCATACCACATTATTGAAAGAGCTTCCATTTTCTGGTCCTTGTCCCTTCCTATCAAGCTGAGCATCCACTGGTTCATTCAAAAGATGATTGACAAACGCAGAAACTGAGTGAGCCTCACTCAATGCAAAATTGTTATTACCCATGTCATACCATTCAGGTTGGTGGGAAAACCAGTCCAACGCAACCCTGCATAAGAACAAGATAAATAACTCCACTCAACTACTAAGAACTATCTGGTGAGGGTAAAGGTTGGTTGAAATGGTTGAAATTGATGAATGAACTAAACTTGTGGCTGAAATGACTGGATCAAAGTGTGCTGACTTGTTTAAGAATGTTTTTGACAATTTTAAAAAACAAACCTAAATAATGAGGATAGAAGTGCTATAATACTGTTATTCTCTCTCATTTCATCCATTTGAGGAAACATGTAATTTTGCAATACTTTTTATTTTACATATGAGCCAAATCAGCCAGTGTAGCCAACCAAGTGTTTGGTAGGAAATGAGGTTGGTAAGTCTGATAAGAAATGTGTCCACAAACGGGCACCAAAAGTGTCAATGACATACATTCTCAGCATATACCCATACACATGATGTTTCTGTGCCATTGTGCTATAGCCTATAGATGGCTAAACTTCTAAAGCCTAGATCGTTCCTAAAAGAAACTTCTTGCTACTCAAATTCTCCATTGTTTTCTAACTGAATCAATTGAAAATGAATTCAACTAGTGAGCAAACAAACTTCGAAATTGGATTAAAAGCAATAACAGAGGTCGTGAGTGTCTGGATCGGATACGTAAGTCCTCGATCCAAACCTGACACTAGAGCATTTGATGGAATGAACGGTAAATCGGTGATAAGATGTCAAAAGACCAAATGAGACTACTTTGATGGATTTAACAGCTTTATACTTTCTATAATTATATCCAACACTAACTTTTCCTTTCATTTCATTCTCATAGCAAAAGAAACAATAGGCTTGTTCCTTTCTTTTCATTAGAGATTTCTTACTTTGGCTCTATTAAATAGCACATGAATTTCTATATTTAGGAACCAAAAAACTATAATAGGTCGGTAGTACTAGAGCAATTAAAAAAACAGACAAGGTTGGGCTATAACAATTAGGCAACCATATAAGTATAACAATTGGATGGTTTGACATACACACTGCGATCAACAGGATATCTTTACATGTTATAGCCTCATAGTGAGCGCTTACTCATTATATACATACACTAGATATGCAGATAATACTTTCAGATGCATGTGATGTGATCAACATTTACATAACAGCATTTACCTGTAAATCCTATCTTCCAGTAGCTGAAGCCCCGGCGCAAAGTTTTGTAGACTACCCCATGACTTGCAAGAGCAAAACTTTAGCCCTAAAAGCATGAGAGTGAAGAAGGTTCCAGAAGCAGCAGGGTGGTGACAAAAGTTACAAGAGAGCTTTGTGGTTCCTTGTAGCAATCGACCTAATAGTAAAAGCTGTTCAGTACTATTATGTCGCACCACCTGACACAAAAAAAAAAGTTAATAAAAGTCAGAAAAAGAAAAACAGCTACATATGTAGATTTCTCTTATGTGACAATATTTAGATTACAATTTATTTTTGGAAACAACTACAATATTTAAACCAGCTTGGAAACAAAAAAAAAACTTGACACATTCTTGTAGATAAGTTAGCACACCATAATGCTGAAGCATTGGATAAATTATCAAATATGGAATGAAAAAATGAGATAAATTAAAAAGATAACATGTACAGCGCTAAATGAAAGACATAGCACTAATAGCAGTATAACTTCTACAAAAAAAAGTAGAGCAAAGAAACATAACACATAACCTCAAAGCGATCAACAAAAAATCCGATCCATAGTCTATGGGCCAATATCTGTTCAACAGGATCCTTCTCTGGAGGTAATTCTGGATCCCCGGGAGACAGGTGAGGCCTTAACTTAGCAGCAGGTCCAGCATACCGTGACTCGGATGCAAAAAGACCCCGTTTAGTTTCAACCGTCCACAACCATGCATCAACAAGTTCAGAGAGGATAAGAGGCCCAAGATGAGGAGCTGCTGAAACCAACCATGTCCAGATAAATATACCTGTCTCCATCGCATTGGGTGTTAAAATGTAAGCTGGGCACCAGCACAGAAGACGTAGAAGCTTTGTAATGCTCTCAACAGACTTTGAATCTGAACCCTACAACAAAGAGTGCACTATTATTTTCAGCAGGTGAGCATTTAGGGTAAGCACAAGTCCCTTCAAGGAAAAAGGTAAAAGGAAGGTAAACATTTGCATTTACCATGTCTGAAAGAAGTAAAGCAGAAGCTTGAGAACATGTTTCACGAAATGATGATTTATCTACCTCAGCACCTGTCTCTGCTATGTTAACGAACTTCTGAAGTAGGTGAACAAACCTCACAAGTAATAACTCACGAAAAGAAACACTTTTGGTCTGAGAGTCTTGAACGATGGCTATAGATCCAGGGGTTGGGGGGTCAAGATTGCGCCCATTTCCCATTGTTAGGAAATTAGAATCAAGCCCGCCAATGCCCTCATATATCCTTCGCATTCCAGCAATCTCCCCAGCATAGTTAGATTTGACAGTAGCACTAACAATTCCAGTACTTAGCACTTCCAAATTAAATGCCTCTGTCACTGTTAAATTTTCACCAGATGCTGCAGCAGCTGAAGCCATGACAGCAGGAATATTTGCAGTCTTTGTGCCAGTACAACAGTTGTCCTTACCAGTACCAATCTTAATCTCAGATAGAAGAGAAACAACATCTTTAGTTGGATGTGTTTTTTGCCAAGTGTTCCATTTGCAGAGCTTTTCCTGAGATCACAATTCTCAACTTAAGAATTAAATTGTGATTCGAAAGAAACTGAAAACAGTGGCAATATGGTTACTAGAAAGGGATCACATCATTGGAGTGTGGCAGCACATTAATTCAGCGTGGCATCACAATAAAAAAATGTGGAGCAGTTAAATTGAACCTTGCAGTAATATAGACATTGGTTTAACCCATATATATATATATATAATATAATAAATTTATACACCAACTAATGAGTGAAAGTATACATCATTAAAAAAGATGACCAAGGAAATTATAAAAAGTAACCTGAAGTAGGCCCTGAGTGGTGCATGGAGCATGTGATAGTGACACAACTATCCATTCCCGAAGAGTCTTCTGGTACAAAGAACGGACAGTAGCAACCCAAGCAGGATCACTTACAAGAGTTGAAGAAGGTTCATTTTTTACAGAAAACAGCAGCAAATCCAAACAAGAAGAGTTCAATATAATCTGAAATCACATGAGGCAATGTGAAACTATAATTAGAAACAGGAGAGAAGATAGCAATAAAGATGTGTGAGTTGTGAGAAATGTAAAAGACAATGGGATTCAACCTGAGGGTATCGATCCTTGAGTTGATTCAGTAAATTAACAGAGATATTGCGAACATGTTCATCCCTCTGAGATAAGTTTTTTATTAAACAACAAGCATGGACAGACAAGGTAGACTCTCTAGTCTCAGCAACCTTCCCAGTCTCCGATCTTCGGTCATCCTTTCCAAAGAAGCAATTATACTCATAAATTGTAGTCTTGTTTGTTGACTACAAAACTTTCAGCAGAAAATGGGAAATAAATACAGTGTGTGTGCGTGTAGTACTGTAGTGCGGTTCCAGTGAGAATGACACTTGAAATCAAAAGGTGTGAATAATGCACTTTTATGTTTAGGGTAGTGCACTTTTCGCGGTGGAAGAAAAGTTCGGTTTATTACTTTATTTGCAAAAATACCACCGCAGTTTCTAGCACATTCATTAGTTCTTATCTCTCTAATCCATTTTATCACATTCATTATCATTTTTATCTCCAAAAGTATCTTTCTAAAATTCTGGTTTAAACCAAGAACTACACATAGATGTATACATATGCAAACATGTACATATGTGTGTCTAGTACATGTGTGTATTACATGTGTGTGTGCATATGTGTACATAGATCTGTACATGTACACACACATATATATAGTGCGTGTGCACATACCAGCCAGTCTAATACTGTCTCGAAGGCCCGGTAGATGATTGCTGTTAAGCACTGAGAAACTGATGGCATAAGATTAGGGCTTTTCAAGTATTCAAAGACACAATTGAAAGCACTCCGAGAAGCAGTAGAACCATGACCAGCATTTAGGATACCACCATTGCTACTGAACCGTATGATCTCTAAAAATGCTACCGCGAGTAGATAAGTTGTCTTCACGCCTGTGTAAGAAAATAACTGACAAAGCATTAGGACATAGGATACTCTAAGCCAGTCATTGGAGGCTTTAAAAGTAGATGTTTTTTCAACACCAATGATGAAGATGTATCATAAAGACCTGAAATGGTGCTTATTGCTGAAACCTCAAAGCGCCCTCCCAAAGCAGCAGAAAGGGCAGCCCTCTGATTTGCAGCAGCTTTTTCATTTCCACTCCCCCTTCGGCTACCTGGGTTATGAAGAGCATTAAGTTCCAATTCATCTTCAAGCCATTTGACAGAGCTCACAACCTGATGAAATTGTTTGTTGGTATTCAAGCCTTAAAATTAAGATACCCAGTTTATTTCAGTTGAAACCCTAAATGCCTCTCGAAATATCTGACCCGTCATCAGAGTGTAATAGCAATGAATATGAAATATCGTACGAGTATTGATAAGAAAAACATGCATGGATAGTGGAGAATCATATAGTAGCAGACTAACACAATTATAATCAGTAGTTCTGTTTCTTATGACCATTACAAGTTATACTCATTTAAGACTTCAGTTGATATCCAATTTATGCTCGTGAACTGGAGTGATGCACGGAACACTGTCACTCTCTGGCACCCGAGGAATCACTTTCCTCTAATCTTTATTCTATTCTTCATATAACTGATTCCTTCTGGTACCAATATACTGAATCTTACTCCCTCCATCCCTAAATTAATTTCTTACTTCCCTTTATGGTAATGTGTACTAAGAGACTCTTTTACCCCTTTGAATAGTACAACATTGATTACTCTCTTTCTTCACCGCGTCTCTGATGGGATGTGTTTGGGGACCGAGAGAGTATTTAGTAAGCTTTATATGAATGTGTTTGCACTAATATCTGTTATTTCCCTTTTAACAAATATAAAAGTATACAACACAACATAAGAAATGATGTCATCTCTTCAAATTAGAAGATGCAAGTCTCTTGCACTGTGTAACTTACAAGGGGTGGGGTCCCCTGGGAGATGCGATGGATAGCAGAAGACCACTGAGAATCCCACATATACGGCCCACTGACTGCTTGGAGTGCAATTGTTCCCATGCTGCCTACGCTGTTTAGAGTGGTGGAAACAGGCTTTGGTATACCTTGATTTTTCTGTATCGGTGGAGCTAACCCAAAGAGAGCAACATAAAACCATAAATTTCTAAATAGCTTGAGAAGTGCGGGTTCAATATCTACACTCGGATCAAAGTCTGAACATATCTCAGCAACAGCAGGAAGTAGAGGCCCAAGAAAATCTGCACCACTCCTGTAAAAGACAAGTGTAATTAGCTTCCCTGAAGAGGATACATACCATAAATGCCTGCTTAGCGAAGTAGCAGAGACCTACCTTCCACTTTTTGCCTCAGCAGCCAAGCCTACTTCTGAACACAATGACAACAGCCGGTGACGGTAATCTGAGCGCAACTTAGGGTTGACTAATCTACTGGCAATCAGAAGAAATCCTGCAGGAATGGTCTAGAATGTGATTGAACATGTGAGCACGCCAAAAAGACCCAGCTCTTCTTAAAGAAAACTAAGCATTATTAGTATAAAATTGCAACAAGCATATGGCAACAAACCTCGACACGTTCTGTGGTAGCTTCTGGAGCCAAAGTTCTACTTTCAGCTGATCCAATATTAGCAAGTTTGCTTACATAGCTCTGTATCATTAGAACAATAGCTTCACGATAGGTTTTCTCAAAGCCTAAACTCGCCAGATGAGAAACAGCATCGAGAAGCTGCAATAAATCCAACATAAGAGGTTAAGCATCTGAGAAAAAGATCAAATGAAACTAAAATATAGCAGAAACGACAGCAACATACCCGCAGCCTTAGTCTTCCAGGCACGGAAGCATCACCCTCTTCTAAGCTTTCAATAAACAATGGAAGTATCATGTCAACCACTTCAGGCCTGTTAACTTTGACATTCAGGTCAGCCAGCAGCCGTATAACATTCAATTGACTAGCAGAAGCTGCACATTTCTCCCTTTCTTGCTGAAAGGTATAAAAGAGGAACGGTGTTCACATAATTTTAGGAAAAATCTTACACGTGTAAAAGCAGCAAACCAACCAAATATACCTCTTATTCCAGCCTACCACGTGCACATTTAAATCAACTTATTTTGGAGCCAATCTACTCAAAATATAGAAGTTGGACCAGACACTAAAAGTAAATAAGGGAGTGTTTAATGTTAGATGTGGACACCTTATATTTTAAGAAGCTCTAAAATGAGACTTTTTAAACCTCTTTACCAAGAAGCCATCAGCTAAGACAAACAAGCACTGTACAAATTAAACATTTATAACCCAGAAGCTGGCACATACCCCTTAAACATTTAAAAAGGGCAACCCTTACCTTGCATTTTCGCAAGAGGCTGCTTCTAGGACTGAAACCTCTTACCTCAAGGTCACACGGCAACACCTCAACAGATGTGCCAAGGCCAAGGCTGCCCTTCACATAACCTTGCCGAGGCACATATACAAACCTATCACCCAAATATAAATGACATTTCTAATCACATAAATATGAAGAAAAACAATTATTTTCTTGACTTTTCTATTTTAAGGAAAATGTTTCAAAGCAAGAAGTCACACATCATAAATGGAAGCAGATACCTCCCGCCTCTTCATCCCCACCTCCATGTGTATGTAGAACTGTAGCATACTATGATATGAAATTGGTGGTAGTTTACAGCCAAATGTATTGTGAATGTCTCCAGTAGAAGACCGATGAATTCAATTGCAGAGAGTTGATTGACTAGCAGATATGTACCTCACTTTTGTATGGGAGTGTTTGGCTCCCCAAAATTTAAAAAGTAAAAAGCTCATGCGCTGGAGGAGCACTTTGGCAGCTTCTGAACATAAAACGGCCCCAAACTGCTAAGGATTACTAGTAAGAAACTGCAAATTGTAGTTTCTTAAGTGATTGTTTTATGTTTTGCTCTTTCTTAATCAAAATACTATCGAACTAGATAATGTTTTTTTCCTTTTGCCACCATTTTCCACAAAATTCATTTAAAAATAGGTAGATTCTATGGTACCCATAAGGCTATAAGGTACCATACATTTGTCCACATGGACCGATCAAAATATTGTAGTTGAATTATTTAGATGAATATTAAAAAGTGATATAATGCCTTGGACCAATCAAATGAATGATAGGCACGGTACCCCACTTTTAATTGGCTACTATAGTTCTCACCAACAATAATACTCCCTCCGTTCCCAAAAATACTTCCCACTTTCCTTTTTGGGCCGTTCCCAAAAATACTTCCCACTTTCCCTTTTTGTACAATTTGTGTGGTTCACATTCATTTTACCTTTTTCTTACACAACCACACATTTCTACTTTATTCCACTTTCTTAATAAGCGTGCCAAGTCAAACCGGGAAGAATTTTTAGGAACGGAGGTAGTACTTTTAAACACTTTATAATATATTATCGGGAAAACTGTCAAATAAGTCTCTGTACTTTCACGAAAAAGTCAATTGAGTCCTACTACTTTTAAGCGAATCAATTAGGTCCACGAAGTGTTAAAAATTAATCAAATTCACTATTTTGTAGGTTACGATCAGGTTTCCCGGTTGACAGGTGACGTGGATGTCCACCTGGCATTTTCTTTTATAATTTTCTCTCTTTTTTTTAAAAAAATTTTTCTACTCTTTTCCTTTTTCTTTTTTCTCCTTTTTCCTTTTCTCTATCTTTCTCTCCCGGTCCATTCTTTCTTCTCCGATCCCCCAAGCCCCCAACTCCCAAGTCCATTCTTTCTTCTCCCCCAAACCTCAAGTGCTTTTCCTTTCCCTGTCTTTCTTCTCCGGCGAGATTTCGACCTCCACCACCGGCTTGAGGGATTCCATCTCTGACTCCTCCACCAGAGCGATCTCCGCCACCGCCACCTCTGTACCCACCACGCACCTCTGCCACCCCTACATCCATACCCACCACATTTGCTGTCCGACCGCCGTTACCCCCATGTCCACCACCTCCGCCGCCTCTACCTTAATAGCCACGACTTCCGCCGCCGCGGCACCCCCACATCCATATCTACCACCTCCACCGCCCCTACCTCCACACCAACCACCTTCAAACCGCCGCCTCTACCTCCATTCTCACCACCTCCGGACATCCGCCCCTACCTCCACATACCTTCCATAGCCACAGCCTCCAGGAAGTCTCATCCCCTTCTATGTTTGGTGATGCAGACTGGAACAAAGTTAAGGAGGGACTGAGATCGGAGGTGAAAGAAATAAAGAAAGAAGATAGAAAAAAGAAAGAAAGGGAAATGAAGAAATAGGGAAGAAGAACGGGTCTGGGTCTGTGGGAGGGAAGAGAAATAGACAACAGTAAAAAGAAAGAAGGAGAAACAAAAAGAAAATCTAAAAGAAAACGAAAAAGTATAAAAAATAATACAAAACAGTAAAAAAACGCCAGCTTGATGTCCACGTCATCAGTCAACCGGGAAACCGGATCATCACCTGGAAAATAGCTAATTTGATCACTTTTAGCACTTCATGGACCTAATTGATTCGATTAAAAGTAGTAGGACTCAATTGACTTTTTCGTGAAAGTACGGGGACCTATTTGACAGTTTTCCCTATATTATCAAATACTTATTTAAGAACTTAGCTACACACTTTTGAAATCAAATCTTTTTCAAACCAAATACAATAAAAAAACCAGGTTTGCTAATAGTTGACCCATACATCTTATATGATTAAACAAACTCGCTCCAACTCCCAATCTTAAGAATATTTAGGACATTACACTACTTTCTGAAATCCTTCGGACCTTCAACATTGAACTGTGCAAAGTGTATGAATTTCAATGACCTATTGACCTCACAAACAAGTAGTAAACAAGAGGAACATGTAACACTTAAGCAAAATCAAGTGACAAATGACAATTGTTACTCGATGCACCATACACTCTCTCAACCACAAATTAATATGTATTTCATTTCTAAATGACTATACGCGTTAACTAACCTCTACCCTGTAATCATCTCTTTCCCGAATACTTGTAGCCAATCCCATAATAAAAGTGTTCACTAGAGATTGGTCTGCTTTCCATCCAAACTCAATTATCTCAGAGCTAGTTTTCAAGAGGCTTTCGAACATGGCCCCATGACTGCTGGCCCAAGTGTCAGCCTGTAACCCATAGCACCACGAAAAAACATTCAACAGAAGCATAAAAGCACCTTTGGAACAACATTAACAGACCCCAAAAGTGTACCTGATCACATGCAGCCAGGACAAGATGTTTGAACCAGAATAGTGAAACAGGTAGTAGCTGACCACCATGAGCAGTAGCAGCTTGAGAAATTCCAGCAAGCAATGCGCCGAACAAATCTTCGCAAGCTTTTAACTTTCGCCACAGTGAGAACAAACACGCCGCAGCAGCCTCAATCAATAGTTTAAGAGCATCATGCAACAACCGCTTTGATGACTTCCCATCAGAATCTATAGTCACAAGGGTTTTAATCTGTAACTTAGAAGCTGCTTGGTATGCTGAAAGCTTTCTGTTGATCCTAACTTTTAGAGATTGACCTTGTTCTGCCTGGTCCCAAGTAGCACGGAAACGTGAAACGGAAAACGTGAAACGCAAGAAACGTAATTTCTAAAAAATATAGGATACGGAACGTGGAGGAAACGGGTAAATATTAAAAATATAAGGATATATTTATAATTTTTTTCATATATGTACACAAGTTTTTCATTTATACATATGCACATGATTTTTTTCACATAACTTGTTTAATTACCCAATAATAAAAACACTATACATGTTCAAATTTAGAAATCATTTTATATTAGTGCATAATTAAACATAAAATGTAATGCATTTCTAGCAATACATTGCGCTACGAAATGTAACAATGTTGATGCGGAGAAATACCACAAAAAATCAATATTTTTAACAAGACACTATATTCCATTACACAATCTTTTAAATAAAGAAAATGATTGGAACCCCAAGGTTTCCGAAACGTTTCCCAATTCTTCTTCATTACGGAAACGGAAGCGAAACGGGAATTTGAATTTCCGAGTTTCTGAATGCTTCCGATTTTCCGAAATGGGGAAACGCGAGCCGCAGAGAGTTTCCGTGCTTCATAGGCAAAAAGTATGTAGTTTAATTCAGAGGAAAAAATTGTTTGTACAAGTTTTTTTTGTACACACCAGTACACATGTTTGTGAACAGGCTATCTTTTGTTTGTGAATAGCTTATTCACAGACAAGACAAACCCCAAAACATGTGTTATGTCTATGAACAGGCTATTCCCCAGACAAAAAAAAATAGTCCGTTCACAGACAATAAAATAGCCAGTGTGTGTGTACTTGTGGGTATAAAAAAGGTTTGTACAACAACCATGGCTGTAATTCAGAGGCTTTGTCTCTCTCTCTCTCTCTCTTTCAACAAGGAATCTTAAGCAAAGGAGCAATAGAGTTGCATAAGTGCATAACCCATTGGTTTCACCTTGAGAAACGCCACCATTGACTGTAGTTGCTCCCTAGCAATGCTTCTAACATGCTCCAAGAGCTTGGCATCAACTGATACTTTGTCCAATATGTGTCCTATCAATTTGAAAGCTATTTCCCTCTTCTCAAGGCTATCTAAGGGCTCCTCCTCAAAAGCAGCAATAGTTCGCTTGTACGAAACACTGCCTCCCCCACTACCATTACAGACCATATTTGCTGCCAGTAAAACCACATTGGTCCTACAAGGACCATTGCTTCCATTTAACATGATACCCTTAGGTGACTGTGAGCTGATGGGGTCATCGGCAAGTCTGGAAACTAAACTAGTGGATGACCCAGAGACATTGCTGATATCATTTCCAGGACACAACATATCATGGCCCAAACTCAGTGGTGAGCTCTGAGCAGAGGTTGCTGCTGAGGTGTTCGAAATGAGTTCTTGAGAAGAGCAGGGAATGGAAACCTCAAACCCATCAAGAAGGGAGAAAATTAGCCTATCCGCATCAGGAGGATCAAGTGGAGGGAAATTTAGAGATATGGCATTCAAGAACACCTTGCATATCCTGATATCTCCAGTTACATTGCCTATTGCAGATATCACAATTTCAGCAGTGAACCCTGAGACATATGTGGCAAATTCCGGGCATAAATCTGATGCTTTTGAGACATATCCCAGAAAATCGTGAAAGAATAATGCGATCGAGTCGATCCCAAACGACTGAGGCCAAAACGATGGGTCGAAAGAAGAACATATAGAGCGATAAAAAGCAATAATGAGTGATCTAGGCAATTGGTCAACGATGTTGGAGCACCTTGAGAGGAATCGAGCCACCGCGAGGACCGCATTCAGCTGTGACCTCGAAACCCGAGGAGACCCCGCAAGCATTACCTCCGCCGATGGACATCGGCCACACATCCACATCAGTTTATCTCGGAATTGAGTAGGGTTGTCAGCGATCAAATCGCACAGCTGAATTAAGGACTCCATTTCAAACTCCGATCTACCTCTAGCTAACTAAAACTTCCAATTGTAATAATACGCCGAACCCCGGCATACGATCAGCTAATCAAAGTCATTTCACGCATATAAAAAAACTCAAAGTGCAGGCAAAGTTTCGGGTGCAGATGTCCCTGGGATAAAGATGCGAACCAGGAAGTCAAATTGGGGCGAAAAAGCGGTGGTGGACCGGACGTGAGGTTGAATGCGGCCTGCTGCCCCGCTGGTTAAGTCGGTATGTGTGTTCTGCTGAAACAGAGAATGTCAGTATGTGAATTCTACTGAAACAGAGAATTTTCCCATCTTTTTCAAATTACACAATAATTTTCATGAGAAATGGTTGATGATACAAAATGCTTTCTACTTTTATACTTCGAATATGATGTCATTAATTAACATTTTGGTACTCGATTTTGAGTTTTTCCATTTTCAGTACTTCGATTATTGTGCGACAGAAAGTTTTTGTACTTGTTTTTGAAAATTTTTACATTTAGTCCTTCGATTTTCATAAAAGTGACATTATTAATCCTTCAATTATTATAATTTAATACAGAGTAGTGATATTTTTAGTCCTGCACTTGTTCTTTCAAATTCATAGTGGAAGAATTAAAAGTGTCAATTTTATACTCCATCCGTCCCTAAATAAATTTCCAACTTTCCTTTTTCGTTCATCCCAATTAAAACTTCCACTTTTCTTTTTGGCCAGAATTTGTGTTTCACAGCAATTCTTACACATTTCTCTCTTCTCTGCAGAACTCTCCACCACACAATATCCACTATCTTAAACTGTGTGTCAAACCTATTTGGGAGATATAATAGGGACGGGGGAATAATACTCAGGGGGAATCATTGAAGGCGATGACTAAAAGTGTCTCTCGCACAATAGTCGAGAACTAAAAATGGAAAAGTTAAAAGTTGAGTACCAAAAGTGTCACTGACTCAATAGTCGAGGAACTGAAAATGGAAAAAATTTCAAAATGTGTACACAGACAACTAGGGGGTTTTGGTTTTAATCGTGCCCCTTTTCAAATGAATTATTTGTGTACACAAGTAACTATAATGGTTTTGTGTACACTGTGTACAACTCATATACATTTAAGAATTTTTTCTATTTCCATTTGGCTTTTCCACATAATGATTACATACATTCCTTTTTTTTCTTTTAAATTTATGAAGTAATCTCCATAATACTCCGTATTATTCTATTACTTCACGTCTTCACACAAAATTCTGATTATAATAATATTGTTAGAAAGCATTCGGGAGAGTTGGTATATCTTCTTCAATTTTTTAATTTTTTACGGAATAATTTTAAAATTTCTCTAGCATGCATGTTTAAATCGTGCTTAAATCTTGATATGCAGTGCGGTCCAAGCCTACAAGTGTTAAGCTTAACAACAAAAATACTTATCAACTAGGGGTCTTCTAGCAATATATTGTTTACCAATGGTTATCATAAAACGAATTATCATACTTCGTATATTCTTTTGAATAACCGTGAGGTATATTAGTAGTAATCTGCCATTGAACTTATTTTGAATATAACCATCAAGAATATCATTTCTTATTTGTGTGCAAGTGTGTTGAAGGTATATTGAATCTCTCGTCTTACGCATGATCCAAAGTGCAACAAACTTATACTGAGCCAAACACCTTAGCACTATATAGATGTTCTATTTTCTCCATTAAGTCAATTCATTTACACCAAGGACAGTTGAGGACTAGTGTCGACCACATAAGCCGAAAGGTTGATAGCATTTCTTGTAATAGACTGTTTTAGAACAAGCAAAGGGACAACAACTCAAAAAACGCAAGTCCAGCCCACCCCCACCCCCCTCAACGGGTATACGGGATGACGGGATGTGTTGGAAGACTCGTGGGGTAACAATTAGGGGGCGAAAGATTACAGTGTGAAGCATTAGATGTGTGGCAATTTCATGTGAACATACGACGTGTCATTTAGAATAGTTTACATTCAGTAAAATCTACATAAAGTGAAAAGAAAACATATTTTTAAGTGTAACATTTTTAGCTTGAATATTAATAAAATACACACCCGGTGATGAATCTATTGTTTTACATTTCTGTGCTTACCCCAGTCACATGTCTGCAATGGTACAGTCTCGACTTGACTCCTTTTCAAAATTACCGTAAATGTCCGCACTTTCCATCTCTCTCTACTTATAAACCCTCAATTATTAAACAAAGGAAGGAGCTTCAAACACAACAATCAGTTACCATAATTATCATGGTGCATCGTATTGAGGCATTCCGCTAAGGTTTTCTGCATTTACCATCTTTAAATAACGGCTAACAACCTTTTAGCATGTCCAGCTCTTAGTAACAAACATTCTTGCTTGAATAATGTCAATTTTCAATGCTGAGAAGATTTTTACTTTTCTTTTATCGGTCTAAAAAGTACATAGTATGTCATGATAAAGAAGGTTGTTTGCCTAAACTTATGACATTATTAGTTTTACTCAAAGTTTTTTGTTTCCTTATGAAGTTGTCCCCGTATTTTCCTCTTGCAACCACCAACTCAGTTCGTATGAATTGACTTGGTTGGATGTTGTATTTTGGTTCTGGTCTCCTACATTGTAATTGTGCCAGTTGAGTTCTCATGTTTCCAAATCTAAATCCAGTGGCGGAGCCAGACATTTAGGGTTACAGGGGCCAGTCCTTAACAATTCTACATTGAAGGGGCCAAAGTTTAAAATATCAACATACTTTCTACAGATTAAAAGTATTTATACATAATATATACTTAAATTTTTTTTTCCTGCAGGGGCCGTGACCACCTCCAGCCCCTCCCTGTCTAAATCCTACTCTCATCCTTTTTACAGCAAACAATTCTTCTTTGAGAAATCTATCATCACATTGGAATCTCATAGTTCAAGGCTGTTTCGATACTTTCGAACATTACTTACTCTGAAAATGGGGTGGAAAGTCAAATCGTCCCTTCAGGAAAACAAGCAAAATTCGGTATGTTCAAAATTCGGTATGTTCAAAGTTCGGAAAGGGCATTTGACAATTTGTGGAGGAAGTTCCTGCCGCCCCAAAGTGTTGCTGCATTGGAAGTCTGTGCACATGCTTCATCAACGAAATATTTTATGATAAAAATGAATTTTTAGACGAAGAATAAGAATGGAACTGATGAATACATACTTAATATTTGCAAAAAAAATTATTGTGTGTATCCCACTAATGACATACTAGTTACATTAATGGAAAACCATAAAAGACAAAGCAATAGCAAATACTTGACATAAATTACCTTTGTAAATTCCGGATATGTGACTTTTACAGCATAGTGATCATGATGATATCTTGATTCTTGACGACAATTGTAGTGACACTCATGATATTCTATTTACTATGCAGTGACCGTGCTGGTACACTCCCAGTGCAAATAGTCACCACAAAGTTGTTTTTTTATGATTCCATCATACAAATATTGTAGGAAACCCCCCTTTAATTATAACTTACAGCTTGTGAAATGCATCACTCAATATCTCCTGCCCCTCTATTTTATTTTATTTTACTTCTCCGCCCTTTTCTTCTCCCCTATCCCTTCGACTTCCGGTTGGCAGGCCGGGTCGGTACTACACAGTACCAGGCCGGGCCGATTGAACCAGTCCTGATCCAACCCTAGTTGATACCATAGTCAATCGTAACTCTACAAGTCCAAAATGTACTAGACAATGTCACTGTGATAATACAATCGACTCAGAATTTTGTGACTAAAAATAAACAAATTGCTCTACAAGTCTACAACTGCTACGAGCATTCGATTGTCCATGAAAACTTCCTCTAACTTAAATGTCTACAAGACTACAACCAAAACATCTACGAACACAAAACTGTAAAACCCTACCTCTCTACATATATCTACGACAAGATTCAAAAGTTACACAATACAATTAAATTGTCCCATATATATTATTTAGGATAATACAAAATTTTCATGTACAATCGACTCAGAATTTTGTGACTAAAAATAAACAAATTACTCTACAAGTCTACAACTGCTATGAGGTTTCGATTGTCCATGAAAACTTTCTCTAACTTAAATGTCTACAAGACTACAACCAAAACATCTACGAACACAAAACTGTACAACCCCACCTCTCTAAATATATCTACGACAAGATTCAAAAGTTACACGATACAATTAAATTGTCCCATATATATTATGTGACCACCCTATAATTGTGAGACAAAAATTGAACTACATAGCCACAACTCATAATTTCCTCTATAAGTTACATGTCTACATCCCAAACATCTACGAATACAGAAAAGTGTAAACCTGCCTCTCTAAACACTCACATTTTTGGGATAAAAAAGAGAAACAGGGAAAAGGAAAGAAAAGGCTCCTACGTGACATATTATATACTCTGTATTATATAAACAACTACTACGTATATGTTTGTGATGACTAACAATTGGTCAAAATTTACATTAAGGGAGGAAGACCGCCCAAAGGGAGCTTCATCATAAGGATTCATCATCCTATATGTAAATAAATCAATCATTTCTCAATCCCCTGCTGAATATACTGTATCAAATCATATCCAGCAGTACTCCACTTGTTATATGCATCGGTGCACGTCCTAATCATAAAGATGGCTGCTTCCCGTTCACTCATTTCAGGATGGAATCTTTTGCGAAGATTCCCTATCGGATCCCCCCTACTGAAGCAAGGCAGTCCACTGTCTATCATCAATAACACGGTATTTATTATCTCATCCGTGTAGCGGCGTGCAGCCAGGTACCCCTTCACACACAAGCTGCAAAGATGCAACACCATAGATACGACTGGTTTATTCAGCAGATATAGGTTTTCAACATATAAAAAATGAAGAAACAAACACTGATGGTTTCATTGCTATTAGGCATTCCACCACTTCTCTTTAATTTTTCAACTTTTGGTGCACAAGTATGGATTTGTCATCACTTATGGTCACTTATCTGGCCTATTCCTATACTTTTTGCCAGATAAGTACTGTAAATGATAAAAGAGGCCAGAAATCAATTATTATGCACCAAAAAAATGAAAACCAAGGATTAATATCAGGAATAAACTAATCATTGAGAGACCATAGGTGGAAATGTTATAAAATCTTGTTAAAGGAAGACATCTCACCTTACAAATTGAAACCACGAGTCACTTTTCATCGATCCAGATGGATCAATTAGTTGAGTCATCTCATGACTTAGCTTGAAGTGAGCGCTTTCAAATCTCATATTTCCACCCGGTGAAGTCTCCAAGATAAAACCAAAATCGATATGCACTAACCTCCCAACACTGCATTGACCAATAACTGTC